GTGTTTAATATTCCACCCATCAATCCATCTATCCATCTGTCCACCACCCATCTGTTTATTCACTCATCCAACCATCCATCCTTTCATGCATCTATTCATCCATTCAACCAGTCAGCCACCACTCATACATCCACTCAACCATCCAAAAAAAAATCATAGCTCTTTATAGAGCAACTGACTAAAATACTGTGTAATTATATCCCTGGAGTCATTATTAAAGAACTCATGGAACTCTTAGTTTATAATATTAGAGTGTCTCTAGAAGATTACTTCCACCTATCAGATGGAAAGAATTAAGAAAGTCACTATGTCATCTTGGTTGCCTGGATGCAGGACTAAGTTGAGAGCTCAGTTACTGTCATCCTATTTTCCTTGTGTTGCTTCCAGACATGGCAATGACTTCTGTCACATCACTTCAGTGTCTAGAACCCTCTTAGTGTAAACTGCCTGAAATGGCTTTGGAAATAGAATCTGTATGTAAACAAATAGATGTATCCTGGTGTTGTAGGCCTTCTGTTTGCCAAAGACATATACAAATCAAGTCAAAACAAGATAGCACTTATGACTTGCATAGCAGTGGAAGCTTGAGGTCAAGTGCAACTGCGGTGAAGTAGAGTCAGAGAAGTTCTGGGCTGACTACAATGAAGCTGTTTTTCATTAATGCAGGGTTTGATTTCAATCCACAACTGGATTTGAATCTTAACACTGAGATGTTAGAAGTTCTTCAGAAAGTGACTTAATTTCCTATAGTTTAGGTTATTCTGCTGAAAAATAGGCAAACTAACACAAACCTGAAGGAACCATTAAATGAGAAAATCTATAGAATTTAAAAAACATCCTAAAGATATTGGATGACATATTATTAATTCACTCTATTCACTGGTTGAACAACTGATGATATGTAAAGTATACTGTGTGCAGACATGGTGAGAACTTTACCAACACTAGCTTTTTTGGTTTGTTTCAGGGCCACACCCAGCATGCTCGGGGTAACTCCTGGCTGTGTGCTCAGGGATTAATTTTGGCAGGCTCAGATGGGATGCTGGGGACCAAACCTAAACTGGCCATGTGTAAGGCAAACACTCTACCAGCTCTACTATCACCCTGGCCCTAACTTTGCCAATACGAACTTATATAATCTTCATGGTTCCCCAAGTATAAATATTATTATTCAATTTTACAATGAAGGAAACAAGACAGAGAAAAACATAAAACTAATGACAAAGATTAAATTTACAAATTGAACATGTGCTATATAGAGCCGGGATTTAAATCCAGGGGATCTTCTCTCCAGGATTTTATTAGATTGGCTTTCTCACAAGGCATGTCTCTGGAGTGGTTTTTATAGTAAAAATGGGAGCCACAGAAATGTATATGCTTTGTCTCTGTTTACATAAAAGTAGAGTCCTCCTTCTTTACCCACCACACACGCAAAGTAGGTTGGGCAAAAGAGGATAAGAATCTTGGGAAAATGAGAGTGTGGGATATGGATAAGCCCCCTAGAACATGAATTTAGGGAGGGGGCCTGGTCATAGGTGGTGGGCAGCTCTCTCAGGGGAAACCTTATGCCTGACTATAAAGGAAAGACCCCTCTTCTGACCCATAAGAGATAAGATAACCAGCCTCGGGACTGAAGCAGTAGTCCAGCAGGTAGGGCATTTGACTTGACATGGGTTCAATCCCCGGCATCCCATATGGTCCACTGAACACAACCAGCAGCAATTCTTGAGTGCAGAACCAGGAGTAACTCCTGAGCATCACCAGGTATGACCCAAAAAACAAAAACAAAAAACAAACAAACAAAAAACCCAAGATAACCAGCCTTCCAGAGTTGAACCAATACCTCCTCATTGTTTGAACTGGCAGAAGTGTCTTGACTGTGAAGGAAGTTCATGGGTTTTTGCCTTTTTTCCTTCTTTCCACTTACTCCAAGGAGGAACATTCTACAGGAGTCTAAGATCTTGATGGCTCTTGGGTCTTTTCTCCCAGTTAGCTCATAGTTTCTCTATCATCCAAGGTGAGCCAAATGGTCCCAGAAGACCAAATGACCAGGTACTTCTGAACCATCACTCTCCATCTATGCTCTCAAGACACAATCTAGACCATAACCTCCATGTACAATAAGAATCAGTAGATCATCTCTTTAAAAAGCATGTGGCACAGTTAGAATGTCAAAGATATTTCCTGTATATCCCAGCAAAGCACCTGAGAGGATGAATGTATACAGGCATTGGTGAGAAAGTAGAGAGAAGAAAGGAGAAAACACATCTGCTAAATATTCTGTCCCTGATTTAACTAAAAATTAGTTGTCTCTTGACAATATGTCCAGAAGGCACCTGCAGGGATTTCTAGCTCTATCCCAGCATGAAGGACCTAGAAACTGAATTCTGCCTCTGTCTCCTATACTATGTAAAAGCCTGTACAGACAATAGACCTGACTACTTGTTACACTGGGCCAAACTACTGTTCCTTTGTTCTCTGGTTGAGTCACATAATTTCGCTCCCCATAAACACGACCACAATAAGAAGAATCCTTACGCCAAATACATAATTGCAACCCTTTGAAAAGCCATAAAGATTCTGGCAATGAGTAAATTCTACATGACATGAAGTTTGGAGGCTCTGCATGCAGCCAACATGCTTTTGGTAAACAGATTTAATGAACCAGTCACAATACCCCCATTTAGCCTTATTTTGACAACACTGTAATTTACAGCAATCTAGGTTGGCAGCAGACTAATGGGTCAGGCCAGCCACAGGCTAATATTGTTCTTGCCTGGGAATAAAAGAGAATATTCTGGACTATTGTAGCTATATGCACAAGTGCAGAAGCATCGGGGAACAGTTTGTAGGTACCTCTTGTTTGCATATATACGTTTGTCTTTTCTCTTTTGGAAGTTCTTTCTTTCCCATTTTACGCTCAACATCTGTCTTTTCTCTCTTGGAAGTTCTTTCTTTCCCATTATAAGGAAAGTCTTACAATGCAGGAATCATATTTTCCATTTCTTTTTAAAAAAATTTATCTAGAAGTTCAAGAAAGCTTCCTGAACAGAATTAGAAACCTAATAAATCTAAACTGTGACTCTGAGCTAATGAAGCAGTTTTGGAAAGAAGGTTATCACAGTGGTTTTATTCAAATAATGTTATCTGCTTCCAACTAGCTATCTCCAGAAATTTTATCCTCACTATGCACATTGTTTAATTTTTTCTTAGATAATTCTTTCAGAGCAAGCACTTTATTAGCAGTGGAAAGTACCCTCACTTATTATAATTAAATATTACCCTTTCTTATTGTAGTTTTTGGGCCATTCCTGGTGGTGGTCCAGCTCTGCATTCAGGGATCACTCCTGGTGGGCTTGGGAGCCCATATGGGATGCTGAGGATTGATCTCAGGTTGGCAGCGTGCAAGGTAAATGCTCCTACCCACTGTACTATCTCTCCAGTCCCACAAATATTGCTTTTTAATCATAAAGGCTTTATCCAAATTCATCCTATCCCTAATCTAGCAAACTTAGCTCTGGTTGACTTTCTGTGGCATTCTGCTAAATTAACTATTTCACATTTATCAGAAGAGGAATTCAAAGAGGACTTCCTAAAATATTCTGGTCAATGGTAACACTAGCATGCAAAGCATGTAGCATCCTCTAGAATCTTGTATGAACTCATCCAAGTGGAAATTTTTAATCTGTTGTTTTTTAAAACAAACCTTTATTTTCTACCAATTACTTAAGCTAAGGACTGAAATGTGCACAGACCGAGCAAGATTCCTGGAAACTCTCCCACTTTACAGAGAGATGACTCTGTCAGCTGTTCACTCAACAAGGAAGCACAAGGCTTGAGAATAATGGTTCTACCATGGCCCAAAGGAAAGGGAAGCCTAGGAGTTTTGCATAATCTTACAGTCCACTGATTTCTAGTCACATGCAGGGAATTAGATCAGACTTTGGAAAATGTAACATTTGATTTTGTGTTGTTAACAAGAGTAAATGCTAAAAAAAGAGAAGAGTAAATGCTAGGACCTTCATTAAATCTGGACATTTGATGAACAGAGTGTGTTGAGTGTGTTGCCAATCATTCCTCTATTTAGAGTCACACTCTTGGTTCTAGTTGACTAAAGAAATTCTGGTGAAATAGAAGTATTGGTAAATGTTTAGAAAACTGGTTCTTGGGATGTATTGGGGGGGGGAAGTTCTTATTTTACTTATTTTTTACTTATTTTACTTATTTACTTATTTTACTTATTTTTACTAAGTCAGGGAGCTGGAGTGATAGCACAGCAGGTAGGGCATTTGCCTAGCCCACAGCTGACCCGGGTTTGATTCCTCCATCCCTCTCAGAGAGCCCGGCAAGCTACCGAGAGTATATCCCACCCACACGGCAGAACCTGGCAATCTACACATGGCGTATTCAATATGCCAAAAACAGTAACAACAAGTCTCACAATAGAGACATTACTGGTGCCTGCTCAAGCAAAATCGATGAACAACGGGAGGGAGGACAGTGCTACAGTGCTACCTACAGTGCTACTAAGCCAGGAGAGGAAACAGTGCTAGATCATTGGGCAGGCGCCCGAACGCTGGGGGAACTATTAGCCTCTCTCAGGTACCTCCCTATCCTGGTTTGCATTTCTTCACCACTCGGTAACTCATCCTACACATACAAAGACACCCTAACCTAGACTCCTAACCATACAGAAAATTATTAAATTGGGCCACGATGCATCCTGATGGTGTATCAGCTCGCAAAGTCTGAGTAAGAAGAACCAAACTCATCCTTGGCCTGTATTTGAGAGACGTGAGAAAAGAGAAGAAGCAAAAGGAAGACCTCCCCACAAGTAGGAAGCAAGTGAGGAAATCAGGAGCAGCTCATGCATTCTCATCAGGGGTAGAAATGACAATCTGCCATTTTACCCAGGGCCACTTTGGATTAACTGAAGGGGAGGCAGGGTGGAACACTGATAAAGCATGCACGAGGCCAGTTCTAGTACATTCTAAGCTCACCTCACTCCAGTTGCCCACAGTCCAGTCTGATGGACACAGGACATCTCTGTTACAGGAGACGAGGGCCTTGGGCTTCAGCAGGTGCTGGCAGTCTGCAGTGGGGAGCGCCTGCTCATCAGAGCCCATGGTCTGGATGCACAGCACGATTCGCTTCTTCTCTCCATGGGGGCCACACGTGGTGGAACAGGCTTCCCACTCCCCTGTCCACCACCTGCAAACAAACAGACAGGAGCGTGAAGAGAACCAAAAGTTCATCTGCTTTGAACCTTAGCAACCAGTCACACAAATGCAGAGTGCTAGGATGGAAGGCCTGGATCCAGACCACTGGAGGGCGCTCTGCTCTGCAAGTTCAGTTGCCTCCAGAGGACTTGGTATAAACAGATGCTAAGTAAGAACACTTTTCATGTTCCCCAGATGAACGCAATTTTTCTATGTCTGTCCCTCTCTTTCTGACTCATTTCGCTTAGCATGATACTTTCCATGTAGTATCACATATGTACCAGGAGGTTTACTCCATGGCTTGGAGGCCAGCTGCACATGCTAGGGGAAAAGGCAGCTCAGATAGAGAAGGGAGCACCAAATAAAGGGTGTTGGGAGGATCCGCCCAGGATGGGAGGTGCATGCTGAAAGTAGACTATAGACCGAACATGATTGCCACTCAATTCCCCTTTTGCAGATCACAGCACCCCAAAGGAGAGAGAGAGAACAAAAGGAAATGCCCTGCCACAGAACAAAAGGAAATGCCCAGCCCAAGGCCCTCGTCTCCTGTAACAGAGATGTCTTGTGTCCATCAGACTGGACTGTGGGCAACTGGAGTGAGGTGAGCTTAGAATGTACTAGAACTGGCCTCGTGCATGCTTTATCAGTGTTCCACCCTGCCTCCCCTTCAGTTAATCCAAAGTGGCCCTGGGTAAAATTGCAGGGGATGGGAGGGATGGGGGGTGGGAGGGATACTGAAATTAGTGGTGGTGGAGAATGGGCACTGGTGGAGGGATGGGTACTCGATCACTGTATAACTGAAACCCAAACACAAAAATTTGTAAGTCTACAACTGTAGCTCATGGTGTTTCACTAATAAAAATTAAAAAAAATACACTTTTCGATGGTGGTGGAAAATGTTGCACTGGTGGAGGGATGGGTGCGCAAGCATCGTTTGACTGAAACGCAGTCACACAACTTTGTAACAGTATCTCACGGTGATCCAATAAAACTTCTTAAAAAATAAAATAAAATTTGATCAATAAGCTGGAGCAATAGCACAGCGGTAGGGCGTTTGCCTTGCACGCAGCCAACATGGCTGACCTGAGTTCGATTCCTCCAGCCACCGAGAGTATCTCGCCCGCACGGCAGAGCCTGGCAAGCTCCCCGTGACGTATTCGATATGCCAGACACAGTAACAACAAAGTCTCCGATGGATACGTTACTGGGCCCGCTCGAGCAAATCGATGAACAACGGGAGGACAGTGAGTATATACAGTGAGTATTGATCAATAAAAATGCAAGAACATTTTTGAAAGTTTAGAAATAATAACCTCTTCTTCTCAGTCAAGAAAATGGTTATGTATGTTCTTTTGTACAATAAGTTTAAATCTTATTTTTTTCCTTATCTCTTCAGAACACTGTAACTGTATAGACCTCATACAAGGGTTACAGATTAAATGGAATACTACTTTATGTATATAGGGCATGGAAACTCAGGGTGACTCAATCATTTGCTACTTATTAGTTTTTGTTATTTTGATTGTTGCTGAGTATGAGGATTTTGAATTAAAACTTTAGCCTCCTGATTCCTAATTGAATGCTTTCTTACTCCAAAGAGAAGCTAATTCTTAAATATGCACAAATTTTCAAGTACTTAGTTGATCAATTAGGGACATTGCCTTTATTATTTTTCCTTATCTACTTCAGTCTGGAGAGATAGCACAGCAGGTAGGGCATCTGCCTTGCATGTGGCAAACGTGCTAATATTTTACTTGTTAATATTTTCACTGGAGCGATAGCCCAGTGGGTAGGGCGTCTGCCTTTGCACGCAGCCAAGCCAGTCGACCCGGGTTTGATTACTCCGCCCCTCTCAGAGAGCTTGACAAGCTACCCAGAGTATCTTGCCTGCACGGCAAAGGCTGGCAAGCTCCCTGTGACATATTCGATATGCCAAACACAGTAACAAGTCTCACAATGGAGACGTTACTTGGTCTGCTCGAACAAATCGATGAACAACGGGAGGACAGTGCTACAGTGCAGTGATACCTTTATTTAAAACACATAGCTGTTTTTGACCAGTTCAGCAGTTGAAATGGCTAGCTATATTAGGGTTCTGGATCCCCTGCTCAAAAAATGAGTATGTGTGCTCCTTGCCATTTCACTATTGTGGATGATGGATTAAATTGAGATGTGGGTCCTGGATCACATGAGAATAGTTTTTTTTTCTTTTTGGGTCACACCCAGCAATGCACAGGGATTACTCCTGGCTCTGTGCTCAGGATTTACCTCTGGCGGTGCTCAGGGGACCATATGGAATGCTGGGAATTGAACCCGGGTCAGCCGCGTGCAAGGCAAACGCCCTACCGGCTGTGCTATTGCTCCAGCCCCGAGATTAGCTTTTGAAAGTGGCAGAGTCCCCTCTGGGAGACCTCCTTTATCTTTCTTCTCCATCATTGTGCTAATTTTCAAAAAACATGCCTTGACTAATTAGGGTTCATTATTGCTTGCAGCCTACATTCTCATCCCGTCATGCATTCTTATAGTGGGATTATTCTATTTTACATGGAAAATTAATAAAGCAGGGAATGTACTTATTTCTGACCTTCTAACATTTAGGTAGCATTGCATTTTGAAGAAGGCAAAAGTTTGTATTATGATTTATATTTACTAACTACTAGACTTATTTGGGTGGAACTTCCTTTATTCTTATACTTTTCATCTCAGATTAAAAATAGAAGAAAGCTATTCCTCAATTCTATTCATGAAGAGATAATTAAGATGCCTTACTTATTCTTGTGCTTAGTATCTGACTGTTTGAATAAAATCGTATGCCATGAAGCCAAAAGAATGCCCACTGCATCAATCTAATTAGTTTGTCCCATTAATTAGTGTATCCCATTTCTTACATTTCCATAAGCAGTTAGATAAACTATTGAATATATGTATATATATATATATAATGCTAAGTCAGAGTGATAGCATAGTGGGTAGGGCATTTGCCTTGCATGCAGCCAACATAGGTTTGATTCCTCAGCCCCTCTCGGAAAGCTCAGCAAGCTACCAAGAGTATCCTGACTGCATGGCAAAGCCTGGCAAGCTACCCATGACGTATTTGATATGCAAAAAACAGTAACAACAAGTCTCACAATGGAGACGTTACTGGTGCCCGCTCAAGAAAACCGATGAACAATGGGAGGACAGTGCATGCAGTGCATATATAATGTTATTCTGGAAGCTAATATATATGTGCATATATATATATGGTATATATATATATATAAAATGTTATTCTTGGAGCAACTCAAAGTCTAATTTATTTATTTATTCAATTTATTCATGCTGAGACCACTCTCCGCACACATGAAGGTACTGGCAGAGGGACAAAGCCACGCGGGTTCCGGGGCCGAGACCTCCAAGCCTACTCGAATTGGAGTTGAGCATCTTCCACCCAGATCCTCCAAATTCCAGTAGGCGGGGGTCACACCCACCACCTGGCCCCCTGGCGCCGTGTAATCCCATCAGCGGCCAAGACTCAGAGACTATAAAATCCAGATCCCGGAACCGCGCGGCCGCATTCGCGGCCACGCGACATCTTATTATCTCATTCCTACTTTGGACAAACTTGCAGGCTATCGAATGTAGCCTGCCCACAGGGCAGAGTCTGGCAAACTCCCCGTGGCCTACCAAATATGCCAAATACCAGTAACAATGATGGGTCTCATTCTCCTAAAGAGCCGTGAATATAATCTCAGGGCTAGAATGAAAGAGACGTTACCGGGGCCTGCTCGAGGCAATCGAAGATTAACAGGATGATGAAATGAAAATTTATTTATTTATTTGGCACTCTTAGTCTTGTCACCACAAAGTCATAAAGGACCTTCTTGTTTTTTCTTCCAGAAATTTCCTCTACAGTGCCTTGGGGATTCTTTACATTTGCTTGGCTCTCATTTAACCTGCTGACAATGGCACTATAATTTGTGTTAATTAAGTCACATCCAATTCAACGCATTAAAGTGGAAACAACCACTCTTTTTATTTCCCTGAAAATATCAGGAAGCTCTACCAAATTGTTCTCTACTATTCACCTCTCTCTTGGTGTTTACCATAATCCAACCCTTTCTAGATATATTGTAGCACATTTGCACTAGAATAGTGTAAACTGTTTTGAACGATTGGTGAGCAGGGCAGTATAACAATCAATGTATCACTATATCACTGTCATCCCATTGTTCACCGATTTACTCGAGCGGGCACTGGTAACGTCTTCATTTGTCCCAGCCCTGAGATTTTAGCAGCCTCTCCTTACTCATCTTTCCCAACGCTACTGTATTGGAGGCTCTTTCAGGGTCAGGGGAATGAGACCCATTATTGTTACTGTTTTTGGCATATTGAATATGCCACGGGTAGCTTGCCAGACTCTGCCGTATGGGTCTCTGAAATAAGGCCAATAAATGAACTTGTACAGCTGAGCCAAAGGTGGTTTGTGGATGTGGCTCCCACATACCTAACTTTTGGCCATTTAATTTATTGGTAAACTTGGCCCCAAGTTGTTGGGGTCCGGCCAAAGGCACAGCGGCAATTTGGGGGTACCAGGAAGCCTGAAGGCACCATCAGGATGCTGGTGCACTCACCCCGCAGGTGCAGGTTGACGGCACCATACCCCCAACAATCAATGTAAGGAGCAAAACTCCCAAACACTTGTCAATCTCAGCATGACAAACTGTCTAATCAGCATAGAATTAGCAACAACCTAATTTGTCTTTTTCTGACTTCTGCCAATTTCTCATCGCAGTGTACTGCCACCTAACATTTGACAAAATCTGCATCTATAGTTTTATGTATTACCAACAATTATAACATCCCAGTCACAATATCAATGTTCTGAGGACTAGTCCTACATCAGCTATTCTCACTGCTTCAACACTTCGAGGAGCTCTTTGAGTAGCTACGTGTTTGTGCTTAAGAGTTTGTGCTTAAGAATTAAGGAAAGACAAGAGATAAGATACTTGTGCATGTGGCAGACTCCTGTTCAAATTCACAGCACCACAAATGGTTTCTTGAGTACTGCATGTTCCCTCTTGAGTACGGAGCCAGGAACCAATCTTGAACACCACCAGGTGTGACCCAAATCAAATCATGCCCCACCCCCACCCCCCACAATGACATATACTCAAGAAATATCGTGATCCAATGACCACAATTTCTTTCGAGTGGTGTTGTTGCTTATTTTCACATTTCACGTCAAAAATCCAATGCAACTGACATTCTAAATTCCAACACAGTTGTCAGCATTACAACATAAGAATTATTCCCAATTTTCCCTTTATTTGCAGTTTCTATACTGCTGTGAAATTCTTTCCTTCCCATTTCATTATTTTTAGCTTTCTTAATTTCCTCCACATAAATCATGCATGTTCTCTTTCACAAACTTCTCTTCATCTCAAAGTCCCCATTTCTTTCACTTAAACTAGGTTCTCAAACAGTGGACAGTTTCCCAGACTTCTTGGGAAAAATAATAAAAACATTTTATTATATTTTTCATTATTACTGTCACTGTCATTGTCCTCCCATTGTCCATCGATTTGCTCGAGTGGGCCCAGTAACGTCTCCATTGTGACAATTGTTACTGTGTTTGGCATATCGAATATGTCACAGGTAGCTTGCCAGGCTTTGGCGTGTGGGCGAGATACTCTCGGTAGCTTGCTGGGCTCTTCCAGAGGGGCGGAGGAATAGAATCCGGCTCGAACGGCCAGCAAGGCAAATGCCTGCACACAAGGCAAATGCCCTACCTGCTGTGCTATCACTCCAGCCCTTCATTATTACAGGCTTTTTCGTTATTATTGTATTATTACAAACTGTGTGTGTGTTGGTTGAGAATAAGAATCTTCATTCTTATTCTTAAACATCTTACAATCACAGTATACTTCCCACAAGGATACTTCCCACAACAAAGAATTATCCAGCTCAAATTGGCTGAGATTGAAGGGCATTTCAATGAGGGCCATTCTCGCACTGGAACCTATACTCAACTTCAGGGTGGAATATTGCTGTCAGTTCGCTATGCACGGAACGGACACAAGAATACATGATGGTGGAACTACCATAGTTGTAGCCTAGCAAAGCTTTGTATGACTCTAAACTAAACTTTAGGGAGAAATCAACAGGGAGAAGAGACTTCAGTAACCTCTTTTTTGAGTCAGAAACAATTTGACTCCAGAGAATTTCTTTCTTGAGTAGTTACTCCATCTGGAAAGAGCTACACAAGGTTTTTGTCCTAAAATCCACTAACCATGTATACATATTTCCTATGTTTCAGTTATCAGCAGTTTACATTAAATCTCTTTAAGACGGATGTTTTCTGAAGCCAGTGCTCTGGGGGTCCAAGTGAGGGCTGGAGGTGGGGGAAACTTCCCTGTACTAGCTCTTTGGCCTTTTAAATTTTTTTAATTTTTCTTTTTGTGTCACACCTGGCGATGCACAGGGGTTACTCCTGGCTTTGCACTCAGGAATTACTCCTGATGGTGCTCAGGGGACCATATGGGATGCTGGAAATCATACCCGGGTCAGCTGCGTGTAAGGCAAACATCCTACCCGCTGTACTATCGCTCTAGCCCTGGTCCTTTAAAATTTTTTAAAAAATCATTTTCATATACTAATTTGGGAAAGAACATGGAATATCCAAATTGAATGTAGAAATATGAATTATTACTGAAGGATAATAGCACACAAATAAATGATTTAATATTGCACATAAAATCCTTCTGGAAGAGGAAAGTAGTTTTGAATGATGGATATGAACTTTTCAGATAACATGAAAATTAGGTGACAGAGGGAGATGCTGTAACTTGAAATTTATAGCTAAGGAAAGAACTGAATAAAGATGGAAAAAACAAATCATTTTAACAGAACAGCCAACATGTTATTAATTTATTCTTTATACAAGTGAAATGTCCACTCAGCAGTTCTTCTCGCAAGCATTTGCCCAAAGGAATTAAAAGCCTTTGTCCACACAAATCCTCGTGTGTGTTTATTTATTCATAATTGACAAATCTAGAAAGGAAATAAGATTTCCTACAGTATGGGCTGGAGTGATAGCACAGCAGGTAGAGCGTTTGCCTTGCACGAGGCTTACCCGTGTTCGATTCTTCCGTCCCTCTCAGAGAGCCCGGCAAGCTACCGAGAGTGTCCCGCCCGCATGGCAGAGCCTGGCAAGCTCCCTCTGGCGTATTCGATATGCCAAAAACAGTAATAACAAGTCTCACAATGGAGACATTACTGGTGTCCACTCAAACAAATCGATGAACAATGGGAAGACAGTGCTGCAGTACTACAGTACATTAATGAATAAACTGCTACTTACAGACAGTGAAATATTATTCAGCACCACCACCAGTAGCAACAAACAAGTTCTAAGAAGAAAGCCAGGAAGGAACTTTGCATACAAATCACTAAATGCAAGATGCTAATTCTAGAAGACAATACTGTATGCGTCCCACTAAACGACTTCCTGGGCAAGGGTTAAACTCTAGAAAAGGGCTGGAGAGACAGCAGTGTGTGGTGCTGCCTTGCAGGTAACCTACCCTTGTTCTACCCCTAGCACTGCAAATGGTCCTGAGCACTATCACCAGTGTGAGCCAGGAGTATCCCTTGAGCACTGTTGGTGTGAATCCCCAACCTACAGAAATAGTTAAAAAGATTATTATTCTCCAAAGATGGGGAAAAAAATCAGAGCATAAATGCATGTAAAGACATTTGAAAATAATTCAGATGCTATTAATGATGATTGCAATTTGTTATTATTCATCTGTCCAGACCATAGAATGAACACAAATGAACACTCACATAAACAGTATACTTAGGGGAATTATGATAGGTCAATGTAGATTTATCTCTAGATAGAAAGACAAAATTATAAGAAAAGGGGAAAAAAAGAAAGTATGCTTCCTTTCAGGGGGTTTGCGGTATGCACTGGAGAACACGGACTTATTGCCTCGAATTCAAACCTCTGAGGTAATCAACTGACTGAGGTCATCAACATTTTTTCCTCTGAAACTGACAGAAGAATAGATATTCCCCTAAGCAGTTGAGAATAGTAAAGAGGCTATATAAATCATCTCCAAAATAACATTCCCATGTGGAGCAGCCCTTTCTTTTCAAGGTGGGGTGGGGAGGAAGAGGAAACTCAGAAACAGACAGAAAAGTCACAGGAAGCAGAACTTGGGGAAGAGACAAAAGCTTTCAATCCTTCACTGGTACCCCGCCCTCCCAGCACTTCCGTAGTCAGCAACTTGAGAACCCCCTTTAGCATGACAGTCAGGATTTTTTTTTTTAATGAAGGAATCAGTCTGTAAGCATACCTGATTAGAGCACTGGAAAGTAGTGATTAGCTCAATTATAAAGGCCCTCTCTCGCCACCCCTATTTCAAGTGATAGGGCTAGGGCTGAAAGTTCCTTCTAACCAATCAGTCAGTTTTTTTTTGGGGGGGGGGTGGGCAACCAACCTCATCCTGAAGTTAAGCAGAAAACCCCTTAGTTAGCAGTCATCACGTTAGAATAAAATAAGACACTTATCTTTTCAAATATTCCAAAGGCTGGTGGAGTAATGCTAGGAATCAGCAATCAGACTATGTATCTTTTATTCTGTCAGACTATCACAAAGGTTCACTGCTATATGGTTATCATCAGCATCTCCCATGGGAAATAATAGGAGCTTAGCACATATTTGATGGTAATTTCATGGCCAAGGCAGATGATATAACAAAAATGAGAACAGATCCTAAATTCCAGGGGGAATATTAGATTTAGCAAGTGAACAGCTGTGGTTTTAAGAAAGCAGCCAGTTAACAGTGAGAGACATGTTAAAAAGTGAGTGAGGAAACCCAGGCTGTTGGTGCTTTAGAATGAGTGCATGACCCTCCATCAGTGTCCTTATTTTGGTTCTAGTTGACCTCCTTCATCTCCCCTCCAACTTCCCCACTGCCTAGTAATCTCAATTTTGTAATTCAAGGCCACAGGCTTGTTATCATTCAATATCCCCTTCTTTTATTTTCTCTGTATACCATAGGTGGGAGGGACCACCTGATATTTGTCCTCTCACTGACTATGTCAGTTAATATTATGCCATCCAGTTGAATCCAAGGAGCAGTGAACTACAGGATTACATCTCTTCTTACAGATGCCTAGTGGTGTGGTGTCGCAGACCATGAGGTAGAAGGGTTGCTAACATTGAGGCCAGGTAGGTTGGTAAATATCCTACAGTACACAGGAAATACACACAAAACAAAGAACTACCTCACCCCAAATATCAATAGTGCTAAGATTTGGGAAGCCTGTCTCTGTAAATCTCTTCTAAGCAGTCTTTTGCTGTTGTTTGTACCTGGGCTGAGAGCTTACTGCTGGCTCTGTTCTCAGGGGTTACTCCTGGTGGGGCTCAGAGGACCATATGGGGTGCTGAGGATCAAACCCAGTAGACATGTGTAAGGCAAATAACCTACCCATTATACTATTGTTCCAGCCCCTCTGTGAAGCAGTCCTCTGCAAATGGACGCTGTAACATGGTGGCATATGCGTGTTCCCTGAAGGTCACGCTGCCCTAGTAAGATGTACTGGGAAAAGTCAAATCCATTAGCTAAAAGATTTCTGAGTAACCTAGATAGCATTTTCTCCAATAAAGCTCTGGAACTTAATCTTAATAAATAATTAACAGAGAACACACCAATTTGGTAGGACATTGCTCTCTGTAGAGAAAATGTCCTCAGTCGCAGCTTGCCACAGGCTTCAATGGCAGAAACATCCACAACTGCTTTTCAATTTCTGCGAACAGCCAAGCTACACAGCCATCCTTTATCACCAAGCTCGGGTTGCTGTTAAACCAGACATCCACCATGCAGACACACAGAGCCCCCATTATGGGTGGTTACCTGGGCGGACAATCCTTTTCATAGCACTTCTTCTGTCTCCCATTGGGCTGTGTGTCTGGATCACAAAATGTAGCTTTCACCATCCCATGGTCCTTCTTCATGCAGTGGGCAGTCTGGCGGCGGATACCTGGGGGTCAGGCAGAAAGGTCCATACCAAATGATCAAACATGAGTCTGTATGCTTAGTGGCAGGTAAGGCCCTGGGCATGTCATGTGATCAGCAGGTGCACAAGCTGACCATAAGACATTTTGTTTCTAAAGATAGGATGAGTAACCTGGAAGATGAATAAATAATAATTCATTTCATTTGAAAAAGCTAGGTCACTTCTCAGACATTCCAGATTTCTTAACTAATAGCCTGTGCAATTTCTTTTTTGTCATATCAATAAAAGTGTCAGCAGCTAGAAGCACTATTTATGAAAGCATCTTTCCTGACACAACGAACAAGTGGAATGATACAGACACCTATAGAGAAGTGTTAAACAATGCAAGCGGAGTACAGACTGGGAAGATTGAAGTCAGAAAAACTGACATGGAGGAGAAGGGGGAACGGATTAGATACCTAGAAGCTTCATTCAAACATTAAATACTTGTCAAAACATAAAGGGAAACTGATGTTACTCGGGGCAATTGAAAACATCCTCAGAAAGATTTATTTCTCTCTTTGAACACTGAAGGTAAATTTATTCAGTGCTTCTGACTCCAGACATACTGGGATCACACCAAACATTATATAAAATCCCTTCCAGAAAGTTAATAACATTGCACAGGCCAACCTGCTGGACCAATAGAGATGGATTTGTACAGATGGATATTCCCAGACATGTACCGTTGAGTGCATAGTGGCAAAGCAGTAACAAATGTTTTGGGTTCAATTGTCCTAGCTTATCTACTCTCCGCACTCTTAGTATACTTACATGACAGATAAAAAGCAAAGGCCAGTTTTTACAATGATGGCGACTCAATTTAATAGGTAACTTTTATGCTACAGGAATATAATACCTGAGGCAAAGGTGGTTTTGTCTCAGTTTTGGTTTTTGTATCTTGGCAAAACTTAAATCTACAGGGCTGGAGTGATCATAGGGCAGGGAGGGCATTTGCCTTGCATGAGGCCTAGCCAGGTTCAATCCCTGGCATTCCATATGATCCCCTGAGCACTGCCAGGAGTAATTTCTGAGTGTGAAACCAAGGGGATACCTCTGAGCATCACCAAGTGTGACCAAAACAAAAACAAAAAACCCTTAAATAAATAAAAATAAAATAAATAAAAACAATAAAATAAAATAAACAATAAAATAAACAATAAAATAAAATAAAACAACTTAAGTCTATGATTTCAATTACTGTCAATTTTTCACTTAATCACTTAATCACTTAACTTCCCGTTAGTCGTCGATTTGCTCGAGCGGGCGCCAGTAACGTCTCCATTTGTCCCTGTCGCGTGCTAGTGTAGCCCAATGGCATCTCTTCGCTCCGGGAACATGGAGGGCCTCAAACCGATCGTTCATGACCTTGACAAAGAAGTCTGACCATCTGGTAGGTGGGCGGCCACGCGGTCTCTTGACATCCCGTGGAATCCAATCAGTAACAGCTCTAGTCCAACGGTCGTCTTTAAATCTCATTACGTGACCAGCCCATCTGATTTTCGACACCTTGGCAAATGAGACAGCGTCCCTGATCCTTGATCGTCGACGGATGTCAGAACTCCGGATTTGTTCTCTCATTTGAGTGAAACGTGATATTCCAAGCATAGCTCTTTCTATTCTTCTTTGGGAGACCTGAATGGCGTTCTCATCTTGTTTGCGTAGGGCCCAGGTCTCTGAGGCATATGTTAATGCAGGAAGAACAGTGGAATCAAAGAGATGTGCCCGGAGCCGGAGGTTCTTCGTCCTCTTAGCTATTTCTTCGACGTTCTTGAAGGCGTTCCAAGCCGCTCTCTTCCTCCTGCGCAGCTCGGGTGCCAGGTCATTTGTCATGTTGACCTCTCGACCTAGGTACACATAGCTGTTGCATTCGGAGATGGTCGTTCCATTGAGAGCGAATGGGGCGTCAGGAACAAGGCTGTTTCTCATAAACATTGTCTTCGTAAGATTCAGCTGTAGTCCTACCTTTCCACACTCACGGTCAAAATCGGCCAGCATTTGTGCCACTTGGCTGATGTTTGGTGTTATTAAAACAATGTCATCAGTGGTGTAGTTGCCGACCATCTATCTTCACTCCCATTCCTTCCCATTCCAGTCGTCGCATGATGTTCTCGAGGGTGACACTGAAGAGTTTTGGTGAAATGGTATCACCCTGCCGCACCCCTCTCTTGACATCAACGATCACTTCTTTGTAGAATGGTGAGATCCTGGTAGTGAATCCGCAATACAGCTCACGGAGGATCCTGATGTATTGGGCTTGAATGCCCTGATTGGCTAGGGCTTCAATGGCCGCTTCCGTCTCAACAGAATCAAAGGCCTTCTTTAAATCAATGAACGTTAAGCAGAGCGGCATCTTGAACTCCCGAGAAACCTCAATGAGTTTGGTTATCGTGTGGATATGGTCGATGGTGCTGAATCCTTTGCGGAACCCTGCTTGCTCACATGGTTGTCCTTCATCTAGTGTTCTGCCAATCCTATTCAGGATGACTCGAGTGAACAACTTGTAGATGACAGACAATAGGCAGATCGGGCGATAGTTGCCAATGTCATGGATGTCTCCCTTCTTGAACAGTAGTACGGTCCTGCTGGTTTTCCATTGAGATGGAACCTTGCATTCAGACAGGTAGCGAGTGAAGAGCCGAGCCAGTGTATTGATGAGTACTGACGGCAGGTTCTTCAGGTGTTCAGGTCTGACCTTGTCTGGGCCGGGTGCTGTTTGCTTCTTTACTGACGAAATGGCGTGTCGGATTTCGGAAGGGAGAACGTTGGGAACGACATACCCATCCTGTGGAATTTGGTATGTCGGCAAGTGGACATGGCTATCGAAGAGATTTGAGTAGAAGTCATGGATAATCTTCTCCATTGCCGTTCTGGAGGATGTGATGGATCCATCAGGACGTCGGAGGGCAGTCATCTTGGTCTTATAGTTGGCGAAGGACAGGCGGGCGTTACGAATACTTTTCCCGGCTTCTGCCGCATCTACCAGTACTTCTGCTCTTCTCTCTTTGAGGTCTTCCTTGATCGCATCTCTGCACTGCTTTGCAAGCTCGGACGTTAGCTTGCGGTTGCCTGAGGCATGCGCCAAACCACGCTGGCGAATTAGCTCAAGAGTTTTCGAAGATAGGCGACTTTTTGTGGCTATCTCTCTCTTGGCGTTCCTCGCACATTCATGGAGGTGCTGAACCAGTTGATCGTATTCCTCGTCAATGTTGTCAACAATGGCATCTTCCCATGTTGCCGCAATAGTACCAAAGAGTTCCCAGTTGGTGGTCGTTCTGGGAGTTCTCTTTTTGAACTTTGCAGCCCTTTCTCCCCGCTCTGTGAAGTAGAATTTTGCACGAAGGAGACGGTGGTCCGATCCCGTTCGAAATTTTGGGACAACAGCGACATCAGTCAGGCAAAACCGTCGATTGAATATGATGTGGTCTATTTCGTTGTGGAATCGTCCACCGGGAGACTCCCATGTCCATCGTTTAGATTCTGCCTTCTGGAACTGTGAGTTACCATGAATGGTCTTGGTCGACATGATGAACTCAGACAGTCTCTCACCCTGTTCGTTCCATTCTAGGCCATGGGTTCCGATGTGAAGTTCTTCAGCTGATCTTCTCGGTCCTATCTTGGCATTAAAATCACCCACAATGATCTTGTAGAAGGTGTGGTCTTCTTTATAGAACTTCTCTAGCTCCATGTAGAACTTCTCGATTTCTCTTTCATCATAATGAGATGTTGGTGCGTAGACAACGAAGATAGAAACTGCAGGCAGTGAGCCACATCTATTCAAATGTAAACGTCCGATTCGGGTTGTTAGGCATTCGAATGAATCAATGCTCTTGGCCAAGTTTGTGTTGACAAGGACACCGACGCCTCCAACACCTCTTTTATCGCATGTTCCGAGGAACAATTCTTCTCCAGTGTCGAAAACGGCATGGTGAGATTCGTGTCTTCTTGTCTCGGTCAGACCAATGATGTCGTACTTGATCATTCGCGCTTGTACCATCAGGTCCTCGATGGATGCATCTGATGCTAGCGTACGTGCATTGAAAGTACAGACGATCATTTTTGTCTTCCTTCGTTGTGGCAGCCTAGGTCGGCCTTGAGATTTTGTCGGCCTCTCCTTTCTCATCCTTCTCAGTGCTGCCATGTCGGTGAAGCCTTCAGGGTCAGGTGAATGAGACCAGTTGTAGTTACTGGTTTTGGCATATCGAATACACAGCGGATAGCTTGCCAGGCTCTTCCGTGCGGGCGGAATACTCTCGGTAGCTTGCCAATCTTTCCGAGAGGTATAGAGGCTTTTGGGGTGACCTCTAATCACCCTTGTAGGTGTTACCATATTTGAACCCTATCAAATATGGTACGACAATTCCAGAAGACGGGTATTTAGTGTCTTATGATGTGTCGCGCGGCCGCTTGCGGCCGCGCGGGTCCGGAAAGCATCCTGGAGTGTGGCGACGGCTGGGTAGTGGAAGTAGTGTCAATTTTTCATTAAACAAAATAAAAATCAACAAAGTCCAAGTCCAAGGATTCTAGATCCTGTTTCTTTTACCTTTTACATATTACTTAGTTAAGTAGCACTATAGCACTGTCCTCCTGTTGTTACAGGGAAAAATGAAAATCAGACTGCTTGAGAACAGGAAGCTGATCCAGTTCATCTTCCACATTAAGTAAAAAGTAAAAGTGAAGGCCCTCCCATTGATCATCGATTTGCTCGAGTGGGTCCAGTAACGTCTCCATTGGAGACTTTGTTGTTACTGTGTTTGGCATATCGAATACGTCACGGGGAGCTTGCCAGGCTCTGCCATGAGGGCAAGATACTCTTGGTAGCTTGTCGGGCTCTCCGAGAGGGGGGGGAGGAATCGAACTCGGGTCGGCCATGTTGGCTGTGTGCAAGGCAAATGCCCTACCGCTGTGCTCAATTTTACAACCAATAAAAAAATTAGTTTATTGCAACTATAGTCAGAACATTTCAAAATTATGTTAGTTCATATCTCTTTTCAGTGAATACATAGGTGGCAAGTTACATTTTCCAAACATAACAATGAGAATAATCATTCATTCAGCATGTTCTTCTATAGTCTGACCAAAGCATTTTTTTAAGTCATTCAGTTGACCATTTACTACAAGGGAAAAATGGTAAAAATAAAATGAAATGCATCAATCTAAAAATCTCCCACACAGAGAAAAGAAGTCATTATCAAAATGAACAGACTGTCTAGTAAGTGGAAGAAGATATTTATATATCATGTCTGGCAAGATATTAATATCCAAATTACAAAAAGAATTCATACACCTCAATAATAACAAAGAGCAATCAGATTCAAGTGGACAGAGCATAAAAAGTAGTATGCGCAAATTTCTTTGTTATTAAATCTAACTAAGAGTTTGCTAAAGTCAAGAAAAGTTTCCAGGCATTGCCAAATATTCTTTGGGGAACAAATTCATTCTCAATTGAGAACCACAGATTTATATGCTTGGATCCCCAGAATGTATAAAATATATTAAAAATGGAAAGATGAAAATAAAAAAATAAACACATAAATAAAAACAGACAGATCAGTGCCAGGTAGGGTCCTTGCCTTGCATGCAGTCAACATGGGTTTAATTAAGGTACTCCACATGGTTCCCTGAACCTGCCAAGAGTGATCCCTGAGTGCAGATCCAGGAGTAATCTCTGAGCACTGCTACTTGTGGCTCCAAAGCCAAATTAAGATAAAATAAATGGAACAGAAGATCTAAATGGAGACGGATGGCTATTTATCCAAAAGGAGAAATAGCCGTGTTATTGGGAATACGGAGAGGGAGAACCCTGTGTACTATTATTAGGGATGTAAACTGGCATTGCTCTTATGGAAAAGAAAGTGAAAATTTCTCAAAATTCCTCAAAACATTATGACTGGAAATTTCGTATTATCTTGCTACTTAACTTCAGGGTATTTATTGTAAGATCTGGAAACAAAAATTCAAAACTATATAAGCACCCTTAGCTCACTGCGGCATTATTTTTAATAGCTAAGGATAACCAACATTTTTTATATATATATACACCAAACTGTCTAACAATGAATCAAAGGATAAAGATGTGGTACATGTACACAATGCAATATGCTATATATTCAAGAAGAAAATTTGCATAACATGGATAGAACTTGAGGGAATTATGCCAAGTGAAATAAATCAGATAGGTGTATGTCAAATGCTATATGATTCCACTCATGCATAAAAGATAAATAAACAAAATTTATTAAGCTCTGAGAAAAAAATAATGAATACAAGAAAGGAAGGGGGAAAAAGGTGGGAAAATCTGGTAAAGGGGGGTCAATGATATAGTGGAAAATGGAAATTAGACATTTGGTGGTGATCATAATGTAGTTCTTTCTTAAAGACACATAACTGTTCTTTTTTCTTAAAGACACACAACAAAAGATCTTTCACAAAGGCCAGTATGCAAAGGTGATAAAACAAAAGCTTTCTTTCTCTTTAAAGCATGTCTAGCACATTCACCCCTATTGGGTCATCTTTTGTAATTCTTCCAAAGTCTGTGCAGTGTGCAAAACACCATGCCAGAAAGCAACTAAGGCTTGTTTTGCAGCTGACTCAGTTCACAGAGGAAGCGGGCATTCCTCACCTGTTCCACACGTGACACTGCACCCTGTCCAGGGGCCGTAATGCCAGAAGTACACCCGCTGCTCTGCATCTTGGTCAAGGCCATGCTTCCGTATTGTGTACTCATATTTAATGCCAGGGTTAGTCACCTGGAAGAGAAGCTAAAGGGCAAAAAGAAGAGTTTATGTCAAACTGTCAGAACAACACTGAAAATCATAGTCATGCACAAATGCTATACAACGTCCGTTATCTTAAAGCTGTTATGGAGATATGCATGAAATAAATGCTGGTAAGTAACAGTCTCCACCCTGACTTTTACGTGTACATTTCTGTCTATGTATGTCTGTGTACATCTATCTAATATCCATTATTTTATTTCTTGGCTTAATTTTCATGGTAATTTCAGTTCCTGTACACAAGTAGTCCTCACCATAAAGGAACTGCTCTGAGGGAATGGTAAGAAGTGAACTTTCCGACAATAGGTGAGTACATCATGATGCATCCTTGCATAGTCACTAATTTTGTGATTATGGGATAGTTTCCCTACTGACAAATGAGAATAATAGCTGTACAATCAATAACTGTACGGGCTGGAGCAACATCACAGCGAGTAGAGCTTTTGCCTTGCAGGCAGCTGACCCGGGTTGGATTCTTCCATCCCTTTTGGAGAGTTTGGCAAGCTACTGAGAGTATTTTGCCCGCACGGCAGAGCCTCACAAGCTCCCCGTGGCATATTCAATATGCCAAAAACAGTAACAACAAGTCTTACAATGAAGACATTACTGGTGCCTGCTCAAGCAAATTGATGAACAATGAGAGGATAATGCTACAGAGCTACAGAACTACAATCAATAGGGTAGTTATGAGTTAAACAAGTACATATATGTAAAGTGATTAGATGATATGAGGACAGATCTGGTATGTAGCAAACCATCCCAAAACACTAATTTCTATTATTTCTGTTGCCTTACGTTGTTCTTCTGTAGGTCTTAGGCTAATTTGTCACTTAATAATAGTTCTGTGAAAAATATGATCATGGTCATGGGTTTTAGTCAATGTATGCTATTTCTAGGCCCTTCTCCTCAGTACTTTGCTACAGATATCTACTTAACATATATTTATGAAGCGTTTATCTTAAACTTAGGGCTAATACTTTGGGTTGCATCATGGAACTGAGGGTAACTGTATATAAATGTGTTCCTTTGCAGGTAGGAAAGATGTAAAGTCTCCTGACTTTATGGATCAGAGCTGTCCATCCTTGATCTTCAACCTCTGTACATGCTCTGACCTTTGTCTCTGAAATGACCTTCCTCTAATTTCTGAATATAGTTAAATCTGTCTCTCTCTGGACCACTGTTATTGCCAAATTGCTTTGGCCCTGTTGAAATAATCATTAAATTTGGGGTAGGGATTGGGGGATATGTCATTACCAACATAAATCACAAATCACCCACTAACTACATCCTAACCCCTCTCACCCACAAGAATTTCACCAAGTCAGGCCTTTTTTCTAGGACAACCACATGATAACATGAAAAAGTTCTATCTCTACCCATCAACACTGCCAGAAGCGACCTGTAATTCCCACCAGACTGACACAGAGAAACAATCATTTGAAAATAAGCTGCCTGTAGCAACGGACTGAAAATTGTGCTCATACTTTCCAAAAAAGCAAATTTAGAGTCCCTGGGAGGGGGTGGGGGATGTTTAGGCAATATCTGGGCGGTAATGGCCCAAAGACCCAAATTAATCTTGTTTCCCACCTTGATTTTTGCTAAAAGTTTTAAAGATCCTTGATTCGTATCCCCGAGAAATAAGAAAATTAGAAAACTCCTAACTGACATTCACACCAGCAGCTTCCTTTCTCTCCACATTACCTGAATCCATACTGATTCATTGGTGGGACCTGTGGCCATCAGCTTCTCCAGCTCTCCTTTCCTGTCATACTGAAAGACAGTCCCGGCCAACTTATAGTTCCCATTCCACTGGATAATAAATCCTCCATTGAGGTAATACTTTTCTGGGTCTTCACTCCTGATGGCTAAGAAGTTTCCAGCTCCCTCAATCTCCATGACCCGTATGTCCCTTGCTCCTTTTGGAATGAGTGCGATGTTAACATAACCTAAAAGAGAACATACACTAATGAGCCACTCTAGCATAGAGGAACATCATCTGTTTCTTTCCACTCCTTTCACAGTAAATGTTAGTCGTTTGTTTCAGCATTGAGGATAGGAAAAAACTATACTTAGATCTCAAGAAAGACGGACTATCTGGGCACATGGAAGCCCCTGGGGAAATCAGGCTATCACAGAGTCTTGAGCCTCAAGATAAAAAATAGAGATGGGACAGAGTGTACGGCACTTGCCTTGCATGTGTCTGACCTGGGATTGAACCCTGGTACCCTATATGGTTCCTGAGCCCATCAGGGGTGTTCACTGAGCACAGAGCTAAAAGCTTTTAGCATCAACAGGTGTGGCCCCAAAACAAAACAGAACAAAAGAATAGTCTGGACCTTTGAGGACTGAGCAAAAAATTGATCTCACTTCTGAAGACATAGTTATGAGACAGGATCAACTAATGGTGCCAATGCACATCTTAAGCAAGTGTTGTTTTCAATTCACACCAAAAAATTGATTACTCTGTTTCTGAACATGTCACTTGTATTAAAAATGGGTTCTTAAAGAGGGCATACTATTAACCCCAGAAAATTGATCTCCAATCACCAGTCCCTCTTTTTTAAGATAGATGCTGTTAGGGAGTGACAAGTAAGACAATGCTCACTGCAGGCCAAGTCTCATGAGGGGTTCCTGGGATGGGTCAATCTATCTTCTGTGCCTGGACTGACAGTAATGACCAGTCAATCTCTTAGACACAAACCTGCAGTTACGTGGGGCAAAACTATGTGTAAATCGATGTACCTGGTAATCATTTGAATATTCTAACTGTTTTGCTCTGCATTTAGAGTTCTAACCTCCTTCCATTTAAAAAATGGGTTATAAAGATGATGTAATCTTAAAATGGGTTGTAATGAAAACACACTAGGGAGCAAGATACAACTTTTCTTTTTAAATTTTATTGAATCACCGTGAGATAATTACAAGCGTTCATGTTTGGGTTACAATCACACAATGATCAAACACCCATCCCTCTGCCAGTGCACATTCCCAACCACCAATATCCCTGGTAAAAACCCCTTTCCCAGCCTCCCTCTGCCTCCATGGCAGATGTGATTCCCCATAATCTCTCTCTACTTTTGGGTATTATGGCTTGCAAAACAAAGCTTGAGAGATTATCATGTTTGGTCCTTTATCCACTTTCTGCACACATCTCCCATCCTGACTGATTCCTCCAGCCATCATTTTCTTAGTGATCCCTTCTCTATTCCAGCTGTCTTCTCCCCTTTGCTCATGAGGCAGGCTTCCAGCTATGGAGCAATCTATCTGTCCCGTCTATCTACTATCCTTAGGTGTCAGCCTCATGTTATGTTATTTTATACTTCACAAATGAGTGCAGTCCTTCTATGTTTGTCCCTCTCTTTCTGACTCATTTCACTTAGCATGATACTCTCTATGTCTTTCCATTTATAAACAAAGTTCATAAATTTATCTCTCCTGACAGCTGCATAGTATTCCATTGTGTAGATGTACCAAAGTTTCTTTAACCAGTCATCTGTTCTTTCTAGATGAGTTAAACAAGTACATATATGAGTAAATAAACAAGTACAAACAACTTGGGTTGTTTCTAGATTTGGGCTATTGTGAACAGTGCTGCAATGAACATACAGGTACAGATGTCATTTCTACTGTGCTTTTTTGCATCCTCAAGATATATTCCGAGAAGTGGTATTGCAGGGTCATATGGAAGCTCAATTTCTAGTTTTTTGAAGGAATTTCCATATTGTTTTCCAGAAAGGCTGGACTAGTGGGCATTCCCACCAACAGTGAAAGAGTGTCCCTTTTCCCCCACATCCACGCCAGCACTGGTTGCTTTTGTTCTTTTGAATGTGTGCCCGTCTCTGTGGTGTGAGGTGATATCTCATTGTTGTTTTGATGTGCATCTCCCTGATGGCTAGCGATGTGGAGCATTTTTTCATGTGCCTTTTGGCCATTTGTATTTTTTTTTTTGCATCACACCTGGAAATGCACAGGGGTTACTTCTGGTTCATGCACTCAGAAATTACTCCTGGCGGTGCTCAGGGGACCATATGAGATGCTGGGAATCAAACCTGGGTCAGCTGCATGCAAGGCAAACACCCTACCCACTGTGCTATCCCTCCAGCCCCTGTATTTCTTTTTTGAGGAAACTTCTGTTCATTTCTTCTCCCCAAGGACGACAACTTTTGTGAGCAGTCAAGGTAAGGTGGGGACAGGCAATGACAGGGACTTCTTGAGGACAAAGGGCTATAGCCTTGAATTCAGGAGGCTTCCCAGCTTTCTTGATATGAAACTGCAGAGTCAGTCTCCTTTTATTCCCTTGCCTTCCAGTTCGAGGTTGCCTGGAAAACCTGTAGACAGTCTCTAAGTAAATTCATAATCTAGTTCCAAGAAAGCCATGTCCCTCTTATCACTACACACTACCATCAGTTGGAGCTTCTTTATCTGTTGCATCTTCTTTTGTGATTCTCTTTGTGAACGTCCTAGATCCTTTAGACCTTCCCTTCCTGAATTTGGATACATGACTTGGCTCCTAACATTGGACTCTCCTACATGGAGCAGTTTTGTGTCTTTGGCAAACAGACCTTTCTAAGAGGCTGAACTCTATCTGTCACTCACCCACCTAAAGTCACTGTATCAGGTGCCGATTCTCTCTTAATTCAACTAGCAAAAAACTGACCTATGTGGTACAGCCAAAGAACAATTGAGTCATGAAGCCATGCCATTTTTTTTCCTGAGGCATTTCAAGTCCCATTCACTGCACAGACCTAACTAGACCTTATGCTCACACACTGTTCTTCACGGCTTCTGTTGATTCACCATTTTCGGTTTGTCATGGTGCCTTGGTGACCCAAGAAAAACATCCAGAAGAAAGCATTGGAGAGACAATACAGGATGTAAGGCACTTGTCTTACACATGGACAACTCCAATTTTATCCCTAGAACCACACAGAATGCCCCAAGCACTGCCAGAAATAATTTCTGAGCACAGATCCGGGGGTAAAAAAAAAAAAAAAACCCTGAGCACTGGTGGGTGTAGTCCAGCCCCTCCCATTTCTGCAAATTCAGAGGAAGTCATATTAGGAGAATAAGAGCAATTCACTCTATGTGAATTTACTCTTCTGGCCAGGAAGGTCAGTAGTAGAGAGAAGGGAGTTAAAGCTCTAAGAACCAGTGGCAGGAGCTCACAGAACCAGATTACTATATTGCAATGACATTATTATAATAACACCCAGGTTGCCAAAACAACTTCAAAACTGTAAATGAAACTACAGACAGGATATTAAGGAAAAAAATAAATAAACCAGCAGATTCAGATATTGTACCAAGATGACCATGGAATAGCAAATGATTTGGTTTCTTATTGTCAACAAGACATTGCATCAACCTTAAGGTGTTTTTATTTTCAGTAAGTAATTATTGAAGATCTATGATAGATACGAGGCAGAGACAAACCCTAAAAATCACTTCAGGCTTGGTTTGTAGTTGGATTAGAGAAAAAGCGAAACCTAAGGTGGGAAAAGAAGCATTGGGAGAGTATGTAAGCAATACAGAAAAATACTCTCTACTGGCTGTATTTAAGGAGGCAAAGTCAAGTTCCAGCCCTGGTTTTGGACTTCACATCACTCACCCCGCCCTGAGCTACTGAATGCCATCACACAGATTTGGCCTCCCAGCTAGGTCTCCCTCCCCGGCTGGGGGGAGGGGGAGATGAGGCAGTCATGGCCACTGCAGCGGATCTGACCTATCTTTAGAAGGTGCAAAGCCAAGTAGTACTGGGCAGAGGATGGAACAGAGAGCACGTGGCTGGGTTCTGCAGAGGCCAGAGCAGACGCTGGCTTTTCCCTCTGTGCAGGGGGAGCCCAGCCAGAGGACTTTGAGGAACCTGTCAGGGAACGAAACTCTGATGCCACCAAACGCTATCAGAAGCCTCTGCAAGTGAATGGCTGAAAGGGAACGGAAATCGTGGTGGTGGTGGTGGGGTGCACTAATTTGGTACACCAAGGCCATTACCATTAGCATCATGTTACCTAAATGATAATCAAAACTGATTCTAAAAAAGAATGGTATGTCGCACCTTGATTTCAGAAATCTAGCCATCAGGTCTATAAGATAACAAATTTCATAAATCTGTTTTAAGGAAGAAAGGGGCAAAAAAATAAAGAGCATGGAAATGCTCAAAGGCGGGTGTGTGACTAGAGCATCAAGAATTAAATCTAGATAGACAGGGTCAGGAAAGGAGGGTCAAGTCTCTGTTAATTACCTCCATGTAACTGGGCTGAAACAGGAACCCAGAACTAAAGTTTGAATTCTTAAGGTCTTGAAAAATGAAATGGTAGAGATTTGAGGAGAAAACTCTTTTTCAATGGAGTTACCCTCATGTTAGAAGCACTGTTTAATCTGAAGTCCAAGAGAGAAGCCATTTACAGCAAATGGAACAAAACAGATATAATGTAGAAATATGATTTTAAGCGTTTCATAATTCAAGGGAAAAAGGTCACATCTGAAGAATGGAAACTATTTACACAATATCTTTGTAAAGAATGAGTAAGCATTAGCTACCATAAAATATTTAATCATAAGCTTCAGATCCACAGGGTTTTGATTTCCATCCCTAATATAGAATTCAAGGACTTGTTTCATGCATAACAAATATATAAATCAAGGACATAGATTACAAGGCTCTAATAATAATTCCAAATGAATGAACTAAGTTTAAAAAATAGTCTTCTTTTAGATTATAAAACCAATTATCAGAATAGAAGTGGGAAGAAGTGGGCAAAGGGGAAAATGGTTATGAACTTTAGGTCAAAAGATGAATGAAATTTCAGGAGTGAAATCAATGTTTTATGTGAAGTTGTTCATTTTAATGATGCACAACTAAAATGTCAATAATTTAATAATGCAATACTGTATCAAGAAAAAAAAGACTTAATAGCGAACAGGCACAAAAGCATGATTTTAAAAAGCAGAGGCAGGGCAAGTATTTCACTGTACAAAGTAACCTGATTATAATTCACTAATCACAGATAATGAACAGAATGGAAATAAAATAAGTTTAGGTGACCTGAGGTTCTATTGACTGGACTGGAGGGCAGTAAGTCATTGAATGTGTACTCTGATATTCTGGGCATTACACTCGTTCACTTCATCTTGGGGAGGAAGCTGCCCTAAAAAAAAGGACCTAATCCAGGATGCAGAGAACCAGGGCCTTCCTCCATCAAGAGTGCTTATTATGGGACAGAGAGTTACTACAGCAGGAAGGATCCTTGCCCTTCATGTGGCCATTCTGGGTTTGAACACCAGCATCATATATGGTCCCCAAGATCACCAGGAGTGATCCCTAAACACAGAGCCAAGACTAAGCTCAGAGAACCACCTGGTGTAGCCCAAATGCCAAACACCAAAACCAAAACCAATGAACAAAAACAGAGTGTCTGCCACTTCCCACAGAGCCTCCTCTCTGCTAGCAATGCTGAGGTCTCCCTTCTCCCCTTTGGGACAGTGTGCTCTGAGCTACTGGCTTCAGTACCTGCATCTCTGTGGGACAGAGAGAATGAACCACTTCTATCCATTAAAACTGGCCTGGACCAATGGATGGTGGTAGTTATTAGAAACTGCATCAACTCCTTCACTTTTAGGTAGGCTAATTCCCTGGGGACCAGCTCAGCACTGACTCCACACCACAGGCTGAATGGCAGCGACTTTCCTTAGTGTCCTCCTTCACTTCCTTAGTGCCCTACTGTACTTTCCCAGGATCCCTCAACTGCAAGAAATTATTTGTCGGGCCAGAGAGATAGTAAGGTGTTTGCTGGCCTTGCACACAGTCGACCTGGATTTGATCCCTGGCACCATACATGATCTCCCAAACCCTGCCAGGAGTGAGCAAAGAGCCAGAAGTAAACCCTAAGTAATGCTGGGTATGGCCCAAACTCTCTCTCTCTCTCTCTCTCTCTCTCTCACACACACACACACACACACACACACACACACACACACACACACTCTGTTGGTACCTGAGTTTTCATCTCAGGATATTTTTAGGAGTCTAGATCTGACTTTACCTCCTGCCAAACTCCAGTCACTGCCAAAGGACCATGACACTGTTTTAACAACCAAATGTGCAGTGTCGTCCCTGATTTGTGTTGAGGCTGGGCTCTCTCTGCCCTGAAGATTATCAGTGGTCAGGACAGCAGGAAGAAGAAACTTTATGAAAGCTAATCATGGCGGAAGAGGGCTCGCTAGTACAGGGGCAGGGACACAGAGCTTGTTTGATGCTCCCAAACACAGGGCATCCCAGGGTTACTAGGTGTCGCCCTGGAGGACCCCAAGCACTATCAGTGGGCCCAGGTGATCCCTGGCACCACAAGACCTGAGCACCAACCTTCTGCTGGCCTGAGCACTGAACCGCCCAAGAATCATCTGCAGTAGCCCCAAGGGCATGAAGTACTGCTTGGGACGGCTCCTCTCCCTGAAATAGGGTAAGCATGGGACAAAAATAATGGATTATGAGCAGGGGACGGGGGGGATAGTAAGTGACAGATTGTAATACTGTGGCTTACCAAGAGAGCCCTGGGGAAGCCCATTTACAGGGAAGACCCTTTTGAACTGGGAAACAAAATCAGCCGACTTGGTCCTCCTTCCCCTCCTCCGATCCTGAGGAGACGCCTGATTCTTTGCCTTTCACCCAGTCGTGGTTTTCTACCTTTAAAGGACCTCCATCCTTCCTGTTTGCTTCTGCTCACCAGCCTTGGGTCTCTTCTCTGCCCTCATTCTCTGTGCATTCCCAGACTCCTGGACCTCAGCCCCGATTCCCACAGGCAGCCACTAAATCATTCCCGACCTACAGCTTGGTGAGGTGTCCTGTGATGGCTCAGCTCTCCATTCCTCTCCTATACAGTTCCTGCCAGCAGCCAGCACCTGTTTCTTTTTACTTTTTTTTTCTGTTCAAATTTAATTATTTCTTTTTTTTCTGCTCTTTTTTTTATTAGTGAAGCACCATGAGGTACAGTTGTAGATTTACAAATCTTTGTGCTTGGGTTTCGGTCATACAATGATCAAATACCCATCCTTCCACCAGTGCCCATTTTCCACCACCATGGATAATATCCCCCCCTTCCTCCCCTTCAACCCTGCCTCTGTGGCAGGGCATTCCCTTTTGTTTTCTCTCTCCTTTTGGGTGTTGTGGTCTGCAAAAGAGGCATTGAGTGGCAAACATGGAAAGCCTCTTTAACAAATTGTGCTGGCATCACTGGACGGCTACATGCAAAAAAATGGGCTCAGAACTCTGCCTAACACCATGTACAAAAGTAAGATAAAAATGGATTAAAGACCTCAACATCAGGCCAGAAACCATAAGGTACATTGAAGACAAAGTTGGCAAAACCCTCCATGACATTGAGGCCAATGGTATTTTCAAAGATGCCACGCCACTGGCCGAGCAAGTGAAAACAGAGATAGATAAATGGGACTATCTTAAACTAAGAAGCTTCTGCACCTCCAAAGAAACAGTGACCAAAATACAAAGACAGTCTACAGAATGGGAAAGGATATTCGCCGACTACACATCTGACAAGGGGTTGATATCAAGGATATACAAAGTACTGGTTGAACTCCACAAGAAGAAAACATCCAACCCCATTAAAAAATGGGGCAATGAAATGAACAAAAACTTTCTCAAAGAAGAAATCCGAATGGCAATAAAGCACATGAGAAAATGCTCTACATCATTAATCATCAGGGAGATGCAGATCAAAACCACAATGAGATACCATCTCACACCTCAGAGACTGGCCCACATTCAAAAGAACAAAAGCAACCGATGCTGGCGCAGATGTGGCGAGAAAAGGACACTCCTTCACTGTTGGTGGGAATGCCGACTAGTTCAGCCCTTTTGGAAAACAGTATGGACGTTTCTCAAAAAATTAGAAATTGAGCTCCCATTCGACCCAGCGATACCATTCCTGGGAATATATCCCAGAGAGGCAAAAATGTATAGTCGAAGTGACATCTGTACTTGTTTGTTAATTGCAGCACTCTTTACAATAGCCAGAAACTGGAAGAAACCTGAGTGCCCAAGAACAGATGACTGGTTAAAGAAACTGGTACATCTACACAATGGAGTACTATGTAGCTCTTAGAAAAGATGAAGTCATGAAATTTACATACAAGTGGTACAATATGGAAAGTATCATGCTAAGCGAAATGAGTCAGAAAGAGAGGGATAGACATAGAAAGATTGCATTCATCTGGGGGATATAAAGTAACAAAATATGAGATTAATACCCAAGAATAGCTGAGATCAACACCAGGAAGATTACTCCATAGCTTAGAGGCCAGCCGGGTATTCTAGAGGAAAGGGCAGTTCAGATAGAGAAGGGAGCACCAAATAAAGGGTGTTTGGAGGATCCTCCTAGGAGGGGAGATGCATGTTGAAAGTAGACTATGGACAGCCCCTGTTTCTGAGTGAAGGCTGCATTTCAGCTTGACCTCTAGACAGTTGCAATTAAAATTAATAGCAACCACTGTGCACTGCATTCTGGGGTCAATTTATCACACTGTGAATAATCTCCTTGTTTAATTACCAGATCCTTCTTTCTGCTTAAACATCTTCCTCACGGTCTGGCACGTAGAGCCATCCCCGAGGCACACACCGCAGCGATCCTCCGTGGCATTGGAATCGATCTCGTAGTCACAGCCTACGGTCTGTGGGGAAGAGATTTGAGGATGAGTGACATGGGCAGGAGACCCCTCACCTGCCTGCAACCTCGGGCTTCTCCTTTCCTTCCCTGATCTCAGTGAGACCCACAAACAGACAGAAAAACAAATGCTCCCTTTCTCTCGAGGCAGCCAGAGAACAAGTAAGGCTTCCACTGATGATGAAGGAAGTCATGATAAAAATGTGTAAAACTGAATTCTTACTAATAAGAATTAATATTCATTTCATACTTTTAAAGTTTAGGTTGCTATCTATTAAATAACCTTAGAAATAAATATTAAGAAGTCATGTGTGGCAGGGCTCTGCTCAGGGCCTAACAGAAACAACCTTATTTAAACTTTTTTTCTTTTTTGGTCATTTTGGATCACACCAGCGATGCTCAGGGGTTACTCCTGGCTTTATACTCAGGAATTACTCCTGGCAGTGCTCAGGGGACTGTATGGGATGCTGGGGATCAAACCCAGGTGTCGGCCATGTGCAAGGCAAATGCTGTGTTATCTCTCTGGCCCCTATTTAAACATTTTTGACCACACTGGCTGTGATGATACATTAATATCCCAAGTTTACAAAAGGAAGAGTCTTAGAAAAATGAGCAGCATGACACAGCTTCTAAATAGTGGCCTTGAATTAATATTTTGGAACTGAAGTGCTCAGTTCTTATGCTTTACTGACAGCTAATTAAGGATTTCCATGCAACCTTTCTTTCATTTATTAAAAGCAGCCTTTTTTTACTTTTGTTTTGGAGCCACTCCCAGCTGTGCTCAGGGCTTACTCCTGGGAAGGCTCAGAGGATGATATGTGTGCTGGGGATCAAACCAGGGCCATGTCTTGCAAGGCAGTGCTTTATCTTCTGTATTATTTCCCCAGCTTTGACACCTTTTCTTTAAACTGAGCTTTCTGAGTGAGAGTGCAGTGGGTACGGCGCTTGCCTTGCACATGACTGACCCAAGTTCAATCACAGTCCCCTGAGCACAGAGCCAGGAGTAAGCCCCAAACATAGCTGGGTGTGCCCTTACCCACCCTCCTTCCACCACCCCTCCCCTCCAAAAAAAAAAAAGACTCCTGAGATTTCTGCTTCAGTGTTAGGTCACAAAATATATGTTAGTTCCTTGCAAAGTAGATTGCAAAGAATGGTAAGGAGTTTATTAGTGGCGACTACACAAAATCAGGTTCAAAAGATTACGAAGGTAGTTAATTAATTAAATCAATGTGAAAAACTTAAACAGAAAACCTGGCTTATGATGATGAACTGTCCTACCATTTCTTTTCCCAAGATGATCATGACAGAACTCACAGAAGAATTAAAGATAACATTTCTCTCTAAAAATACCCTAAAAATAATTTCAATTTTTCTCAAATCTAACACCTCTGTTGGGAAGTAACCAATGGCTATTTTAACACCACTGGAATAATCTGAGCTGCTTTTTCCTAATAATTCTTCCTTCAATTTGGTTCTTCTTCAATTTATCTCTCTCCTTGGTTAAAATAATGTCACCAAGCACAGCAACACTCAAGAAATGAAGTTTACAGCAGGAAAGGCATAATTAAGTTTAAAACTGTCATTTCAGTGAATCCTGGGAAGTCTCATCTCACAAACTATTTTTTTAAAAAAACTGTCCATAGGCAAATGTCATAACAGCAAAAGGATAGAATATTTGATTTCCTGAAGTAATGAAAAATCATGATTTTATATAGTTGTAGATTAAGGAAACATACCCAATACCTTACACATGCCATTAATACAGACATTTCTGCTGTTTCCACCTTCAAAACATGGGGTACCATCAATGACAGCATCCAGCATTTTCTCGGAAAACTGGCCATCTATGGGTCGGCAGTAGAGCTCACAGGGATGGGCTGGAGTGAACAAGAGGCAAATCCCTGTAAGTTAGCCGCTTTCCCCAGGAGCCTTCTGTGTGTCTGTCCACTCAGCTCATCTCCTCGGGAGAGTCTCGTCTCCTACCTTTCTGTGACACATGTTGAAATGTAGGCTCTATCACTTAAAGTTTTTTTTTAATTGAACCACCATAAATTACAAAGTTACAATGTATTCATAATTGAGGTTCAGGTCTACAATGTCATCACCAATCCCATCACCAGTGTCCACTTCCCTCCACCACTGGAAACCAGTTTCCCAAACACCACTGTTTCCAGTTTCCCTCCCGCACTCCAGCCTACCTCTATGATAGCAGGCACTTTTGTCTTTTTCTTTTTTCCTCTTAGGCACTGGGGTTTGCAAAACTATTACTGAGAGGTTATCAGGCATATCATTTTACCTCCTTTCGGCACCCAATTCTCTTCCAGAGTGACTACTTCACCCTATCATTGTCACAGAGTTCCCTTCCCTCCCATTGTCACAAGCATTCTACTATACACCAGTTCTCCTGCCCTTTATTTCTGCCTTTTAGTATTAGTTTTTTACTTTTTTTTAATATACCACATATATGAGATGTGATATATTAAAAAAATACTCTCCTTCTAACTCATTTCACTCAGCATGATACTTCCCAGGTCTATCCATTTAGAAGCAAATTGCATGACTATTTTTTCTTATGGATGAGTAGTATTCCATTGTGTATATATACCAAAGCTTCTTTATCCAGTCATCTGTTTGGGGGCATTTCTGTATTTTCATATTTGGCTTGCCGGGTGTGGTGGCGCGTGCCTGTAGTCCCAGCTACTCAGGAGGCTGAAGCCGGAGGATTGCTTGAGTCCAGGAGTTCTGGGCTGTAGTGCGCTATGCCGATCGGGTGTCCGCACTAAGTTCGGCACTTGGGCTAGAGTGATAGTACAGCGGTAGGGCATTTGCCTTGCACGCAGCCAACATGGCCAACCCGAGTTCGATTCCTCCGTCCCTCTCGGAGAGCCCGGCAAGCTACCGAGAGTATCTCGCCCGCACGGCAGACCCTGGCAAGCTCCCTGTGACGTATTCGATATGCCAAACACAGTAACAACAAAGTCTCCAATGGAGATGTTACTGGGCCCGCTGGAGCAAATCGATGATCAACGGGAGGGCCTTTACCTTTACCTTACCATATTTGGTTATTGTGAATAGTGCTGCGATGAACAAGTATGTTTTATTTCTCTTTTCTTTTTTTGTTTTGTTTTGTTTGTTTGAGCTCTCCACATCCAGGGATACTCAGGGGTTTACTTCTGGTTCTGCACTCAAGAATCAGTCCTGGTGGTGCTTGGGGGAACCATATGCCAGTGCCAGGAATCAAATCTGGGTTGGTCTCATCTAAGGCAAATGCCCTACAGGCTGTATTATCTGTCTGAAACCCATCAAATGTATTTTATGCACTGAGCTTTTAGGTCTTTGGGGTGTATTCCCAGAATTGGAATAGCTGGGGCATGTAAAAACTCAATTTCTAGTACTTTGAAGAATGTTCATATCATCTTCCCAAAAGTCTGGATAAACCCACAATCCCACCAGCCGTAAAGAAGTTCCCCACATCCCACTGCCGCATCCATACAAGCCAACACTGATAGCTGTTGTTCTTTTAAGTGCCAGTCTCTCAGGTGTGAGGTCACATCTCATTGTTGTTTTGATTTGCATTTCCCTGATGATTTGTTATACACTGCACTTTTTCATATCTCTTTCACCCATTTGTATTTCTGCTTTGAGGAAGTTTCTATTCATCTCTTTTCCCATTTTTTGATTGGGTTGGATGTTTTTTTTTTGTAAAGTTCTACTTCCCCCCCATATATATGACATTAAACCTTTATTGAATGAGTGTTGGGAAAATAATTTCTCCCACTCTGTAAGTTGTCTTTGTATACTGGTACTCATTTCCTTTGAAGAGCTTAATATATTCCCATTGTTTATCTATGCTTCCACTTGTTTGGTCAATGATTTTTAAGCCTTAAAGATGCCTTTAGCTTCAATGTCATGGAGAGTTCTGCCTAAGTTTTGCTTTGTGTACCTTACGGATTCAGGTCTGATTCAAAGTCTTAGCAGTTTGATTTGACTTTGGAGTGGGTGTTAGAAGGAGAGCTGTTCTTTTCTTGTTTTTAATTTTTAAAAAATTTTTTGCATATGGCCAACCAGTTTTTCCTAACACCACTTGTTGAAGAGGTTTTTCTTGCTCCACTTGATATATTTTGCTCCTTTATCAAAGATTTAGCAACCTTGTACCTGAGGTTCTGCTTCTGGACTTTCAATTCTATTACCTTGATCTGAGAGTCTATCCTTATTTCAGTACCAGGCTGTTTTAATTACCATTGCTTTAGTACAGTTAGACTATTTTTTTAAAGCAAAAACGTTTTGCAAAGAATCTCATTAGAAAGATTGCTTGAGGCCAGAGCAATAGTTCAGCAGGTAGGGAGGGCACTTATCTTTTTTTTCCCTCTTGGCATATTACTTTATTTATTTTTTATTTTTATTTTTTAAAAATTTATATTAGTGAGACACCATGAGGTACAGTTGTAGACTTACAAATTTTGTGCTTGGGTTTCAATTATACAATGATCAAATACCCAACCCTCCACCAGTGCCCATTTCCCACCTTGAATGCAGCTGCCACAGGTTGAATTCCCAGCACCTTTCATGGTCCCCCGAACCCTGACAGGTATGATCTCTTGGTAGAGTCAGGAGTAAGCCCTGAGCACCACCCACCACCGGATGTAATTCAAAAACAAACAAACAAAATTCCAAATAAAATGTCATCCCCTTTGTTATAAATGAAGAGCCCTTTTTTGTTTTTGTTTTTGTTTAACAATAAACTGTAGTTATACAAATAAGGTGCCATGCATCTGGGGTCAACCTAGAAATGGGGCCTACTATCGAGCAGTGTAGGACTTCTAAACAAGCCTGCTGTAACCCATTGTTTGCAGAAAAGTAATTCACATCTCCAGGAGAGATAAAGGACATAAAGTTGGCCCTGTAAGTTGGACTTTATGTCCAACTTACAGGGCCTTTTGTCACCCCCAAGTCCCCAAAGTCCTCTGACATATATTTGCAATCACAAGGAAAAAAAAAGGATTTTCTCTTTTGTTTTTTGCCAAAGCTAAAACTATTATGCTGGGTCCTACTTTGAATTTATTTTCACATACATTTCTTTACCTTCTTGTGAAACAAAGATATGTTGGTCTCCAGCAAAAGAATTGTACTGAAAATTTATTTAATAAATATATCTCCAAACACGGGTACAAAGAGTAACCAGAAAAGCACAATCTTTATGAAGACTAACAATCTTTTAAAATAGGTAATATGCATACACTATAAGTATTCAAATAATTTCTTTGGATAGCCAGGGTTTAGTTACTATAATTAAAAAAAATTGCGAATATTTCCATCAGAAAAGATTTTGGAAGTTTCTCTTCTGGATCTGTTTATTGTGAGAAAGTTTGCTAGCTTCTTGGTGGGGTGACCAGCTTAGGGCTCCATGCGTTCTGGCTTTAAGCCATCTGCCATAAACCCATTTTGCCCGAGTGTGAGTGGACAACAAAAGCAGAGTCAGAGTGAGTAACTCTAGGATTGCACGCTGGAAAAGAGATACATGTTAAAGAAACGTAAGTGTAAAACCAACATAAATACAATCAAAAGCCAAAGCACTGAATAAGCATTAGGATTAAACACATTTATTTAATGTATTTTAAATTTTTAAATTTGTAAAGGAACATTGTGTGTATGAAACTTCGTTATTAAAAGTGTTGTAAATTATGGTGCTGACCAAAATGAAAACAAAGTAAAAGAGAAATAAAGAATATCAACTGATCTTTTTTTTTTCTTTTTGCTTTTTGGGTCACACCCGGCAATACACAGGGGCCACTCCTGGCTCTGCACTCAGGAGTTACTCCTGGCGGTGCTCAGAGGACGATATGGGATGCTGGGAATTGAACCTGGGTCGGCCATGTGCAAGGCAAACGCCCTACCCACTGTGCTATTTCTCCAGCCCCTATCAACTGATCTTTAACAAAAGGTACAATAGGTAAGTGGCTTGGCAAATGGAAAGATCACCTCATTAAAATGACAGTGGAGAGGGGACTAGGAGACACAATGGACTAGGTATGGCTTGGCAATCATTGCATATCTTCTTCCTTGGGAGCACAATTAGTTCTGTCACTGCCTGAACTGGAATATATAAAATCCTAGAGATTTCGAGGGAGCAATCTGCTTTTGCAGAGGTAAAAACATCCTGACAGTTTTCCTGAGTGCAGTAAATTACTTCATTCCACTAAACATAGGATTATTGACTGGAGGAAGCATTCTTAAATATGAGTGTGATTGAAGATTCTGAATTTGGGCTTGAGATATTGAACACATACAGCAAAACAAGAAAGCAGCTCTAAAAAATTGGAACTTTCTAAAGCAATAATATGTCTGAACCTTTGGGGAGTGCAGGAACCTGTAAATGAAGTGGAGTATAGATCGTTAGGAATAACCAGAAACTAATCTTTTTGGCAACTAAAGTAATAGCACACAAACCCACTGCTATGACTCTGAGCTTCTACCATTCTGACTTGTTAACATAATGAACTCCAGAATGAGCCCTGTGCTTGAAAGCATTTACTTTAATTAGGGGGTTCAATATTATTTAAGCAGTTTATAAGGCTGGTTTGAAGTTCTGCTTCCCTTGTCTCTGCTTGATCGTTTGTCTTTCATGGGATATCATTAGATTGGCCTATGACCCAGAGCTGTGCAGAAAGATGTCTGAGTGGCAATGCATGGTCCTAAAGTAACCCGAGTATCAGAGAATCTCTGACTCTGATATGCAACTCAGAGAGTCTGTCATCTCTGCAGAGTATTTTCATTCTCAGATTCAGACACCTGCCTTGGTCTATTCAATTATCCGCCTTGATCTACTTGTTTGTCTGGGTCACATGAAATTTTCTCTCTAGCTTTCAAATCCTCTTAAATAATTCAACTATGTGAAAACTCTAAAATTAATGTACTTGTAAACTCTTATCCTCAAACTGACTAATCCCCTCAAAAGAAGCTTAGGTAACTGGATAAACTCAATGAATCAAAGGTCGGATTTCAGTTCTACTGAAACTGAGTGAGGCAACACTTTGTATATGATTTTCAAGAGATCATGAGAAGCAAAACATAAAGCTTGCTAAGGAGAATAAACAATTTCTAGGTTAAGGAAAAAATTTTGATGCCATTCATGTTTTGTGAATAGATTAAAATATCAAATTCATCATTGGAAAAAGAATCTAGTTTCTAAAATTTACAGGTAAGAGTCTCCATGCATTATGAATCCCATGTAGCCATGTAGGGCTTTATGCTTGGTTGAATACTGTCTGGAATTATTTTGAGGCTGAGTAAAGGAGATAGACAATACACTATATTGTCTCATAATTCTGAAGACCAAAAATCTAAGAGCAGGGTGTAGGCAATGTAGGTTTTCTCTGAGTCCTTCCTCCTTTCCTTGAAGATGGGACTCTATCTGTGTCATTACATGGTCCTTGGTCCTTTCTCTATACACTGGTGTCCTTTTCTGTTCCTTTTAGTTGACTTGTTTTTGGTTTATAATACTAGTATTCTGAAAGGCTGTTCATTGGGGTGTACAGGATTATGACCTAAATAGTTTCAACAAACATTGTTCAGGTTATAGGGATAGGTTATTACCAATTGGAGTCTATGAATATACACAAGAATTTACCCATATTTAAATGCCTAATTAAGGAAGCCAAGTTACAGCATTAATAACTGAATGACTGATTTCCCTTGAGCATGATTCATGCTGAACAAACATGGCAAGGAAAAAATGTTGTCCCTGACAACAAATAGACAAAAGGGTATTTGAAAGCAAAGTAGGCAAAGAACTATAGTCTTCTTCTCATAAGCAACTAACCATACTGTTTTTCAGAATTACAAATATGAACTTTTTATTAATTGTCTAAATCTGTGACTCCCTGTTGCACCTTATGGCACACTGGACTCTCAGAAACCTAAAGTCGCAATTGGTTAGTGTTAGGTACCTAAATCTTTCCTCTCTACACCACTTGTTGGGTACCTGGTGTGGTCCAGGGTTCTGGATCTAGAAGTTAGGCACCGTGAAGGAGAACACAAACCAGAGGGGTCTGACATGCTTTATTTTATTTTATTTATTTATTTATTTATTTATTTATGGCTGGAGCGATAGCACAGCAGGTAGGGCGTCTGCCTTGCATGCGGCCAACATGGCCGACCCGAGTTCGATTCCTCCGCCCCTCTCGGAGAGCCCGGCAAGCTACTGAGAGTATTCGATATGCCAGACACAGTAACAACAAAGTCTCCAATGGAGACGTTACTGGGCCCGCTCGAGCAAATCGATGATCAACGGGAGGGCCTTTATTTATGTAGGAGTACTGCTATTTATTCAGCCACTGGTTGGGCTGACTGAATTGTTGACATGCTTTATTTTAGCTGTGCTCACACTCCACCAACTCTCTGTACAGTTTCTTAGGGAGGAATCGCTGATAGAAAGCAGAACAAAGCTGGCACAATGCCCAAGGACATTCCTTTCCCGAGCTCCCAAATGCACGCACCAATATATATATAGGTATATGTGTATAAGTATACATATATCTATATATATATATATATCTCCAAAGACTCACTTCCTCCTTGAGTCCTAAACATGTGATCAGACATCTAGCCACTTTAGGTCAAAGGCTGACTATTTTGGGGAGGAGCTCGAGATGCTACCATATTTCCTACCATTAGTTCTACTTGATTATCTTATCCCATCTCAGGGCAAGCTTTTCTGCTTCATTCCATACACAGAAATACACACATCACTATTCGGTGACAACAAAGTATCAAAGACAATAAAGATTTCACCACTATTTGGGTGTTATTCTATAGCTAGTTGTCAATTATTCACCTTCATTTTTGAGATAAAATGTGTAACTGGTCTTTATTCAGGGAAAGCATTGCCAAGGCTACTGTTTCAATCTCCATCTCACTTATGACAGCACCCATGTATGCAGCCTTTAGATTCTTGGTTTCATTTTTAACCCTTTTGTATACTGTTCTGTATACATAAACTGTTGATTTCTAGCCTACATCTGGTTCTCATTAATTTCTGATGATGTTATTCCTAACATCTTTTTTTGTGTGTGCTTTTCTCTTCCCACATAAAAATGACCGATGCTATTTTGAATGCTTTTCTTTTTCCTTCTTCTGTTAGAAGGACTACTTAGGACTTCAGAATCATCAGCTCCTTTCTTAGAAGCCTTTGAAATGACACCAAATACACACTGAATCTATGGGGGGGGGTATAAATTCCTTTCAGAATTATTGTCATTTCTACAAACTCTTTAACAAATATTTTCATAAGTAAGTAGTTACAAATTTCTCTGGTTCCATTTACTGTGTATCTGCATCATGCTTTGGCTTTTTGAAGTAAGCCACCATATTTGATCAACTTCCTTTTTAAAAAAAATCTTTATTTCACAGAGGTCAGCAGAGTTGTACTCAGCCACCCTGAACAGTTAGTGATCAAGTAAGCAGATCTGTGCTTTCACCGACTAAAAGAGAAAACTTCTTTTTTTTTTTTTTGGTCACACCCAGCGGTGCACAGGAGTTACTCCTGGTTCATGCACTCAGAAATCACTCCTGGCAGTGCTTGGGGGACCATATGGGATACTGGGAATCGAACCTGGGTCTGCCACGTGCAAGGCAAATGCCCTACCTGCTGTGCTATTGCTCCAGCCCCAAGAGAAAACTTCTTAAGGTACAATTTTCTTTTTGTTGGACTTTGCAGGGTGTCACAATATTCTGACATATAAATGCTTTTATGATCTTTACCTGGATTAAAAACTGGGAACCAGCGATAGAATTCATTCTTGTAGGGAACAGTGTCAAACTCACTGCACTGCATTTGCCGAAATGTTGGTGCATCTGGGCGGCAGGGATGAACATTGCATAGGCGGTACCGCTTTCTTTCTCCAGTGCAGTATGTTCCTCCAAACTTTGGTCTACAAGTGAAACAGACGAGTTGTTAAGTATTCTTAAACTCTTAAAATAATGTTTAGTAATTTTTTTCATGGAAAAGGCCAACAATTTCCATGAAAAAAATCTGGTATATGGCTCTGCCCATTCCTTGCCAAACCAAACTTTCTCTACCCTCACAATTTACTTTTTAATCAGACTTCAGACATTTTTGTTAGTGTTTATTCCCATGAACATTCCGTCATGGGTATTCTGTAACTGCCTATTTTGAAATAGCTTCCAAATCTTCCCCACTTTGCTTTTATACTCAAAATATACACTAAAAGGGAATATATCATTTTCATTTTAAGTTCTTCTACTTTTTTTCTGATTCCTATTCAGCAAACAAAAAGTGATCAAAATCACTGATGAAAGAATCATCTTTTCTGTAGCTTCCTTTGGTCCTACCGTTAATTATTTGCAAATCACAATGCTCAAAAGGAGAGAGAGAGAGAGAGAGAGAGAGAGAGAGAGAGAGAGAGAGAGAGGAAACGCATGCTTTAGAGACAGGCAGGGGTAAGGGGTAGGAGGTGATGGGAGAGAACCTGGAGACACTGGTGCTGGGGAACGCACACTGGTGAAGGGATGGGTGTTGAAACACTGTATGACTGAAATACAATCATGAACAGATTTGCGAGGCTATATCTCACAGTGATTCAATAAAAAAGTTTAAAAAATATATTGGGTGATCAGATCCAAGTTTTAATGTCTTCTGTAGTGTCTCAGTATTTTAAGTAAATTTGAAACATTCAATGAATGAACAAATCTTAGTTTAGAATAATCCTTTCCAATATTTTATTTCTTAAGGGCAATGACAATTTCCTCATCAGATAATGGGGCAGGTAAAGGTATCTCTGGGAAAAGACAGAATAAAACAGTTTAGGATCTTTTAGACTAGAGAGAACATAAGAACTTATTTTTCTAACATAAGAATAAAATAGAAAAAATTTTTTCATGACTTTATATTTTAAGGTGCCTACTAACTGGCTATGTGAAATACCTCAGCCTCTGTTCTTAATGTACCCATTGAATGTTGGCATACTTACTAACTGTCCCTAACATCTGTTCTGTGTTGGGAGTTAGGCTGGGGGTGTGAAACTGTACTGAATAAATGGTCAGCCTGTGTGTTCACTCATGGTTCTCAGATGACCTTAAAGATTGGACAGCCTGTGTACTTTTTTTAAAAAATTTTTATTAGTGAAACACCATGAGGTACAGTTGTAGATTCACAAATTTTTGTGCTTAGGTTTTTGTCTCCTTGTGTGCTTGTCTGTCTCATTCTTTGCAATCAACCCCCGATGTATGTCGAAGATCCCAATCTGATTGGCTTTAGTGTGGGAAATTTCCACAGTTACCTATATATTTTTACTTCACTGTCACTGTCACTGTCCTCCCGTTGTTCATCGATTTGCTCGAGCAGGCCCAGTAACGTCTCCATTGGAGACTTTGTTGTTACTGTGTTTGGCATATCGAATATGTCACGGGTAGCTTGCCAGGCTTTGCCGTGCGGGCGAAATACTCTCGGTCACTCGCCAGGTTCTCTGAGGGCCAGAGGAATTGAACCTGGGTACTTACGAGAAAAATAATATTTATTTATTTTTTATTTTTATTTTTATTAGTGAGACACCATGAGGTACAGTTGTAGACTTAGAAATTTTTGTGCTTGGGTTTCAATTATACAATGATCAAATACCCATCCCTCCACCAGTGCCTATTTCCTACCACCACGGATCCCAGTATCCCTCCCACCCTCCCATACCCCCTATCCCACCCTGCCTCTGTGGCAGGGCATACCCTTTTATTCTCTCTCTCCTTTTGGGTGTTGTGGTTTGCAAAAGGGGCATTGAGTTGCAATCATGTTTGGTCTATAGTCTACTTTCAGCATGCTTCTCCCATCCTGGGAGGATCCTCCCAACACCTTTATTTGGTGCTCCCTTCTCTATCTGAGCTCCCTTTTCCCCTAGCATGTGTAGCTGGCCTCCAAGCCATGGAGCAAAATTCCTGGTACTAATCTCGACCATTCTTGGGTGTTAGTCTCCTATTTTGTTACTTTATGTTCCCCAGATGAATGCAATCTTTCTGTTTATCCCTTTCTTTCTGACTCATTTCGCTTAACATGATACTTTCCATGTAGTACCACTTGTATGTAAATTTCATGACTTCATCTTTTCTAACAGCTACATAGTACTCCATTGTGTAGATGTACCAAAGTTTCTTTAACCAGTCATCTGTTCTCAGGCACTCAGGTTTTTTCCCAGATTCTGGCTTTTGTAAAGAGTGATGCAATGAACAAACAAGTGCAGATGTCACTTGAACTATACTTTTTTGCCTCTCTGGGATATATTCCCAGGAGTGGTATTGCTGGGTCAAATGGGAACTCAATTTCTAATTTTGATCATCTAATTTTTGATAAGGGGGCAAGAAAAGTGAAGTGGAGCAAGGAAAGTCTCTTTAACAAATTGTGCTGGCAAAACTGAACAGCTACATGCAAAAAAGTGGGCTCAGATCTCCGCCTAATGCCATGTACAAAAGTAAGATCAAAGTATATTAAAGACCTCAACATCTGACCGGAATCCATAAGGTACACTGAAGAAAAAGTTGGCAAAACCCTCCATGACATTGAAGCTAATGGTATCTTCAAAGATGTCACGCCACTGGCCAAGCAAGTGAAAACAGAGATAGACAAATGGGACTATCTTAAACTAAGAAGCTTCTACACCTCCAAAGAAACAGTGACCAAAATACAAAGACAGTCTACAGAGTGGGAAAGGATATTCGCCAAATACACATCCGACAAGGGGTTGATATCAAGGATATACAAGGTACTGGTTGAACTCCACAAGAAGAAAACATCCAACCCCATCGAAAAATGGGACAATGAAATGAACAGAAACTTTCTCAAAGAAGAAATTCAAATGGTTAAAAGGCACATGAGAAAATGCTCTACATCATTAATCATCAGGGAGATGCAGATCAAAACAACAATGAGATATCCTCTCACACCACAGGGACTGTCCCACATCCAAAAGAACGAAAGCAACTGGTGCTGGCGTGGATGTGGCGAGAAAGGGACCCTCCTTCACTGCTGGTGGGAATGCTTACTGGTTCAGTCCTTTTGGAAAACAGTATGGATGATTCTCAAAAAAAAAAAATCAATCACAATCACACAACCATCCTGTTATTCGTCGATTGCCTGGAGCAGGTCCCAGTAATGTCTCTTCGTCCTAGCCCTGAGATTTATTCAAGGCTCTTTCAGAGTTAGGAGAATGAGACCCTTCATTGTTACTGGTATTTGGCATATTGGGTATGCCACGGAGAGTTTGCCAGACTCTGCTGTGTGGGAAAAAATAAAAAAAAATATTACTTAGAACTGAGATGCTGTGGAAATGTAAATACACAGATCATTTGGGTTTTTAAAAATGTGATTCTTGTTTTTACTCTTTAATGCAAACCAAAGTAAATATGGGCAAAATAAACTCTCCATGTATAACAGACATCATATTTATAATTAAAAATTTATACTGAGGAGCTGAAGAGAAAATGTAACTGCATGCAAGTGACATACTTGAGTTCCTGGCACCCCATCTAGTCCCCCAGGCCCCACGAAGAGTGATCTCTGAATGAAGAGCTTAGGAGTAAGCCCGGAGTAGCAGTCAGGTGTGGCCCCAAGATTCCCCAAATTTATTTGGGAACTAGTATATCAGGAAATAATGAAATGGAGAATGTCATATAAATTTGAAGACAAGGGAAATTAAGCTTCATAATTATTATACATACTAAGATACGAAAAAATTCTGAATTTGATTAAAAGAGCAAATGTCACTTATGAAATTAATTGTTCAGAGCTTTCAGGGACTACACATCACCCACGAACAGCCTCTCTGGCTTCTGATCAAGCTGCTTAATGACCTTGATCCAAGAGACTCAGAAACAAATCTCGAAACCTAGCGGCTTTTGGCAGAAATGCATCCGGAACCCGCAGTAGGTTACTGTCGCCGGGCCACCCTAGGGGGGAAAGGGTGTTGTCCCTCCACCTGCTCCCCCCTGGCGGTTTAGTGGCCGTCATCTTCCAGAGGCCATTGGATAATCAGGTCTGGGCCCGCAGTGACAAAACTTGTTGGGCCTCATGGGATGGGGGTGGAGCCAGGCCTGTCCTCCCCACCCCAACGAGACCCCAAGTCAAAGCCCATGAATGGTCTCTGACTCCTGATCAAGCTACTCAACGGCCATGATCCCAGAGACTCAGGAGCAAATCTCGAAACCCAGTGGCTTTTGGCAGAAATTCCTCCAGATTTAAGTGTTAAAATTTCGGAATTTCAAAATCCCGCAGCCACTACTGCAGCCATGCAACATCATATGTTATTCATAACCAGCAATAGAACACAAGTTGTCTACTGTTGCCTTTTCAGCAGATCTGAGTGTTGGGGTAAAATCTCAAATAATAATGGTGGGCCTGGTGTCGAAATAGTGAATGTGATCAAAGTAGAGAGAGAGTAATGTGGAAATCATCTGCCCCACAGGTAGGGGGAGGGTGTGGGACGGGGGTATACTGGGATTTTTGGTGGTGGAGAATGGGCACTGGTGAAGGTACGGGTGTTTCATTGTTTGACTGAGACTTAGACCCGAAAGCTTTGTAACTGCTCTCATGGTGATTCAATAAATTATAAAAAATGAAAAAAAGTAAGGTGGAGTTCATGCCCAATTCAATCAGCTAATCAGTGGCTGAATAAATAGCAGTACTTCTACATAAAAAAAAAAAAGAAAATGGGACTACTGAGAAGAATTTAACAGCCTGATCTCCTATGGGCTTTCCCATAAATTGCACTTTTAAAAGAATTTAGCTTATTTCTCCAAATAATTAATTGCTTTACTTATCTAGGGAAAAGCCCAGATAACACCAAATGAAACAGAAACACCTTCCCTCCAATCTCAGTGAAGCCTGTGGAACCCTTTCACTTTGGGAACCTACTTCTCTTCCCTCACGAGACTTGGAGTCCTGGATAGGTATCAATCCTTGTGAGTCTCGGGGGAACGTATAGGATGCTGGGATCACACCCAGGAAGGGAACATCTGGGCAATACTTACTCAGGGCTGTTGCAGAGTCTCTCTGCACTCTGGGCTCCAGCCCCACAAGTTCTGGAACAGTGGGACCAGGAGGACCAGCCACCCCAAGCTCCGGGAATGCTCTCTGGCTTCTTCCCCACTGTGATGCATTTACCAGCCATACACCACTGGAAAGGGAAAGAGGTCGGAGAAACACACGTCAGGAAGTTCCCCACAGAAGGGCGAGCCTAAAGTTCCAGAGGTCTAACCCTGAGCCAGCAGGTTCCAGCCAGAAACTGAACAACGAGTGTTCCAGGAAGAATTCTCTCTCCAAGACCTTAGGGTTTTAGCATCAGGGAGTTGCAGGAATGGCAAGGAACTGCAGGATGCTTCACTGCATTCGGTGCCAGAGTGCTATTCAAACTGAGGTGTGGAGATTGCTTGCCAGAATGTAAATCAACAGGCCACTTCCTTCCCTGAGTGTGCTGCTATGAAAAGCCAGTGATTAAGTATGCTTTGTAACACAGTTGCTGAGTATTGCAGTTGATTCACTTTCTGGTGCAAGCTCCTTATCTTGTTGGAGATGAAAGCAAACATCTTTCAGTCTGGTACTATGATAACACTTCTTTATATACCTCCATGGGAACATAAGGCGGGCACTGGATAACCCAACCTCCTGCAAAAAAAAAAATTCACTTTTTGCCAAAAAAGACAGTAATTGGTAAGGTGAAGTTCTAATATCAAATTATCAAATTCTTTCTCATTTCATGGATCTGAAAACAATTCTGCATACCTTTAACGTCCTTTACTGTGTTGTACTTTTCAAGTAACTGAGGTGGGCTTGGAACCCATGCTCTCGTCTTTAAGGAAATCCTTGAACAATCATTATTTAGGAAAATGAAGATACAAAATGGAAAATAAAGTAATATGCTTTTTTTGGGGCCGATGGTGGTCAGGGTTTACTTTATCTCTGCACTCAGGTATCGAACCTTGTGAGTCTCGCGGGAATGTACAGGGTGCTGAGATCAAACCAGCAAGGCAAATTCCCTACCCACTGTTCTATCACTCCGGTACCCAAATAATATGCATTTTTTTCTTCTGGAGTTACAAATAGCCACACTGGGGCTGGAGAGATAGTACAGCAGTAAGGTGCTTGACTTGCATGCGGACAACCTTGGTTAGGTCCCTGACATTCCATATGGTCCTTTGAGTGTCACCAGGAGTAATTCCTGAGTGCAGAGCCAGGAGTAACCTCCAAGCATCACAAGGCATAGTCCAAAAAACAAAACAAAACAAAAAAAGTCATATTTCCTGGATGACTTTTGGCATATTTTATCTACTGGCTTCCCATTATTTATGACTTTTTGTCACTGTGTATTAAAAATCACTTGGTGACTATGTCAAGTTATAATCTATGAGACATCATGCCACATTCAAAAATGCATAAAAAACATTTATCAAATGCCTAAATCCTCACCCACAATAAAGTCAACTGGATTGGTTGAGTTGCATATTCTGGCTTCCAGAAGTGTGAAGAAAATCTTAACATCTTTGAGTTCCTGGAGGTTTAACCTGCCTGCCTAGTAAAGCAGCCAGGACTTCCAGAACTGCAATGAGGTCTCACAGAAATTTTTAAAAATATAACTAATGCCCCAAACTAGCATGTGTGGAAAGAAGAGGCCTATTCAGTATCCTTTCCAGCATTTAATAAGGAAGGGGGAAAGTTAAAAGGAAGGTTGGTTATGAGCTCAGATGGTACAAAAGCCACACACACGCAAAGGATGGGGCAGAGGACTGTGGAACTTGCTTTAGGCCTCTTCTCCTAGCTTCTCATTTCCAGTTAATACTCAAAATGTGTAATGGAAGGAGAATTCTTTGCTCTGGCTGGTCAGACTGTTATTTTCCTGCATCCAGACAGCTGCCCCTGGTTCTTTCTCCCCCAGCTCTCCTTGAGAACACTTTGTCCACACCTTCCCAGCACCTTCCTCAGCCCAACATGGCACATCACCTTCTTCTCGCCACACCGTGTCCCATCTGCAGCAGCATCCAGCTTAGAGCGACAAAAGCCTTTCACTGAGCACCACAGGGTCTGGCAAACATTCTGGAAAACAAATGTGAGATTGCACTGTCTTTAATTTCAGACAGTGAAAATGAGTAATGCATTGAGTAAATGCATTTCTCCGGTGATGGTAAAATCCACACACACACACACACACACACACACACACACACACACACACACACACACACTCACCCTCATATCCACAGTAAATACTGCTGTTGTATCCGAATAAGAGGAAGCAATTCTTTTGAGAACTCAATTTAAAACCTAATATGAATTTTATATTAAGCAGTAGTTTCTATGTCCAATACGTAAATGGAGATAAATGATATTAGTCACCATGTAAGTCAATATGCAAATGGAGATAAATGATATTTCCTAAGAATTAAGGTTTTAATTTCTTTTTGTCTTATTTTTTGGGTCATATCTAGTGATGCTCAGGGGCTATTTCTGGCTTATTTTCACAGTTCTTCCCCCTGGACCATGAACTATAGGGGTTCAAATCTTAGTGCTTTAATGTATCTTTCTGTTAATTTGTATATATGTGGTAGCCTGCCTGCCTGCCTGCCTGCTTGCCTTCCTTCCTTCCTTCCTTCCTCCCTTCTTTCCTTCCTTCCTTCCTTCCTCCCTCCCTCCCTCCTTCCCTCCCTCCCTTCTTTCCTTCCTTCCTCCCTCCCTCCCTCCCTCCCTTTTTTCCTTCCTTCCTTCCTTCCCTCCCTCCCCCTTGTCCTCCTCTTTATCTTCTTCTCCTTATTTTCATCTTCCTCCTCCTCCTTCTCTTCCTTTTTTTATGTTTATGTGCCACACCCAGCAGTTCTTAGGGCTTACTCCTGGCTCTGTGCTCAGGGATCACTCCTGGTAGTGATAATTTTCTTAACTACAAAGTCCTGTGAATAGATTATTCTGTTCTTTTGTACCAAATCTGTGGTTTACCGAATCACTGAATTTGTCTTCACCAAACTCTTCATTTCAAAGCTACAATTAATTGTAATTTTTCATGTTTACTTTAAAAATATCTCTCATGCTTTTATTTTTCTCATATATAGCTTTTCTTTATGTATTTATTTTTATAGTCCCTATTTAAAAAATTAAATTAATCTAGGACCATGAAGAAGTTTTCTGTGTTTCTTCCTCTTGCTATATATATATAAAGATTGCTTCAAACTTTGGATTAGGGGATGAACTGTGAACTCATCTCCTCAGAAGTCTAATCTAATGGAGGTTTATACATCCTAAACTGGAAGTTGCCTTCTCCAAAAAAAAATTTTAACTTTTACTTTAGAGGTAGGGCGTTCGCCTTATAAGCGGCCAACATGGCCGACCCGAGTTCGATTCCTCCGCCCCTCTCGGAGAGCCCGGCAAGCTACCGAGAGTATTCGATATGCCAGACACAGTAACAACAAAGTCTCCAATGGAGACGTTACTGGGCCCGCTCGAGCAAATCGACGATCAACGGGAGGGCCTTTACCTTTTACTTCTACCAGACACCGTATAATATAACCATGTCAGAAATATTTTTTGTTTGTTTTGTTTTTTGCTTTTTGGGTCACACCTGGCAATGCACAGGAAGTTACTCCTGGCTCATGCACTCAGGAATTACTCTTGGCGGTGCTCAGGGGACTTTATGAGATGCTGGGAATCGAACCCGGGTCAGTTGCATGCGAAGCAAATGTCCTACCCACTGTGCTATTGCCCCAGCCCTGTCAGAAATATTTTATGCTAATTTTTGTTAAGAGTATTTTCAAAGTTTATGAAAATTATAATCTGAACTCTAAATCATGAGGCTAGAGTAAATTATTTTCTCATGAGAGAGTCATCCACCAGCATTCTTCTCTTTCAAATCTAAGTGAAATTAAAACGATTCTCTCTTTCCTGGTAGATTTTTTCTAGTTCATCCTCTCAAAGGCTCCAGCCTCACATATGAGTTTCACTTCTAGTTCCCTGTGCTGATCAAGGTGATGATGCCTCTGACTAAACCAGCTGGCTGTTAAAATTAAGCCATTTGATTCTCTTCACATCAGCTTCAACATAAATAACTTTTTAATGTTTTTTCCTTGAGAATTTTTTTTAACTTTTTTTAACTTACAAATTTGCTATACGTTTATAAAAAAAAAACAGCGATGTGCTGAATGAAATATACAAAAGAACTTGCTAATATTTTTGTACCTTCTTTTGAGTTATAAGTGATTTCAACATAATAAGGCATGATCAATATTCTATGGCATTTAGGTGTTTTTCAGGATTAAAAATTATGAGGTTATCTTGGTTATAATCTGCAGGGATCTGAAGTCTCCAGTCACTTATCTCTGAAGTATCTTCTATGTATTAAGCACTGGTGATAGTCAGAATTTAAGAATTCCATTGGAAACTTTACAATAAAACAGATAATGATAGTGACAAATGGAAAGAAGGTATAATATAGTCTAATAGATACATTGTCAAAGTAAATATAGGACAGGATGTGAAGTGATATTTAAGCTGAGACCTAACTGTTGAATAGGAAGGATGGTTGGGGGAAGCAGCACATGCAAAATTCTGGGCATAGTAAAAAATCCAGTGCTTTCAGGGAATGAAGTAATTCAGCATTTGACAACAAAGAGATTACAATAAAAGGAAAAGTCACAAAGGAAGCAATGCATAAAATAAGTAAAGAAGTCAGAGCAAATACAGGAGAAACAGACTCTGGATTTCCAATATGAACTGCAATAAATGTGCCAAATATGATGAAGTTTAAAAAAAGATCATACTGAAACAATTAGGAACAGAAGACTAAAAAATAACAGAAAATTTTGGAATGAATATTGATTGAGAAGTATAACCTAATAGATTGTTGGAAAGAAAAAAAATGAAATAAACAAATAAGATTCAAAAGTCAGTAAAAGGAAGCTTAACTAGATGATTAGACACCTAAAAAGAGAACTAGTGAATTATTTAATACAATAGCACATAATGCAGAGAAATAAAAGATGAAAAATGCGAAGAGGAGTTTGTAAGACTCGAGAGATTGACCATAAAGTCAACACATGGATAATTCAATTTAGAGGTTAGAGAGTTAAAGCAGTGTTTTCAGCAACAGAAAGAAAGGATAGAATAAACACTACTGTCTGTTTGAAGTATGTAAAAGAGTTTGAAGCATAGAAAAATGAGGAGGTGAGCAATGTTTTCATCAGAGGGAAACATTCAGATTTCCAGAGGCCCCTTGGGTTGTACTTAGAAGAATGTTGGGCTGTACTTAGAGGAATGGGTCAGAGTTGAGGGGAGGTGAGTATAAATTCAAGGAAGAAAACTAACAGATGATGACTTGATCGTTAAATGCAGGAGAATGTTAGAGGCATTTAGGAGGTAGTGCCAGTGCAACCAGTCAGAAGCAAGGAGTAAAGAGATCCTCCCACACAGGGAATTACATTAAATTTTTAAAAATTATTTACATCCTTTTATTTAAAAAACTGCGAGTTACATAGTTATTGATAATTGAGTTTTAGGCATATAAATATTTCAATACCAATCCCACTACCAGTTCCAACTCTCTCCACGAAGAGTCCCCATGCACCATCCTCTCCAACCCTCTTACCCCTTGCCCCACAAGACCCCTTGACATATCACATAATTTGGCATATAAAAAAATTGGTGATTGAAGCTTAGACCTCATGTTTTTAGTGTTTGTTGAGTCTGTACTTTGGATATATAACTAGACCACATTCCTACATCACTGGTATAGCTCCAGGGCTAGTCCTGACACACTTTCCTGCATTCCTTCCCATTCTCCTCTTCCTTCTTCCCTCCTTGATTTCTTTCCTTCTCTGTCTTTCTTTGCACCAATTCTTAACTTTGTTCAGTTCTGCTTGTATCTAAGCAGTTATTTACTTTCTCAAGTTCTTCCTACATATTCTTGTTGTTTTATGTCACTGTATGGAAGTTTTGACTCTCCCTTTCCAGAACACAAGCCCTTCAAGCGCAGAGGCTTGTCTTAGTAATTTTGGAGTGATCATATTTCTTCACCTTATTTTCCACAGCAAAGAATCTGGCAGGAGTTTGGTGAATCTTGTTTCATTTCTCAACACTAATCCTTTAAGCTAAATGGTTTGAGTTCAGAGAATAGGTAAGATTTATATCACAAAGGAATCCCACACAAAGGATTTGAGATTCCATCTTGAGGTCAATGGGAACTTTATGAAAGAGCTGACTTACGGTTGGTTATATGTGTATTTCTTAAAAAGATAACCTGTGCACCAATGCTCATGAAGAAGAGTCTAGATAGAAATGTATCAGCAAAGAGAAATGATGTGAAATACAATAAGGACAGTAGCAGTTAGAATAACGAAGACAATATAGTCATAATCTTGTCTTCTTGTCTCTAATGTAGGAAGTTAGATGTCAACACTTGATTTATCATATATATGTATATATATTTAATTGAATCACCATGCGGTACACAGTTACAGGCTGTTCATGATCAGGTTTAGTGTCATACAATGTTCTAACACCCATTCCTCCACCAGTGTACATTTCCCACCACTGATGTCCCCAGTTTCTCTCCTTCCACCCCCATCCCCTCCCTCCCCATAGCCTGTCTCTAAGGCAAGCCTTTCCTGCTTTCTCTCTCCTTTGGGGAATTATGGTTTGAAGTTCGGATACTGAGAAGTTATCATGTTTGTTTCTTTACTTACTTTCAGTATGCAGTTCTTATCCAGAGTAATCATTTCCAACTCTCTTTGTCATAGTAGTCCCCTTCTCTATCCCAACCACCTTCTCCCCAAACACTTGAAGCAGACTTCCAGTTGTGGACCAATCCTCCTGGCTTTTGTTTCTACTGTACTTGGGTATTAGTCTCTTATTAGTTTTTTTAGATTCCCCCAAATTAGTGAAATCATTCTGTCTGTCCCTCTTCTTCTGACTCATTTTCACTCAGCACAGTACATTTTTTTCCTTTTTGGGTCACACCCAGTAATGCATAGGGGTTACTTCTGGCTCATGCACTCAGAAATTACTCCTGGTGGTTCTTGGGGAATCATAGGGGATGCTGGGAATCGAACCCAGGTCAGCTGCTTGCAAGGCAAACACCCCAACCACTGTGCTATCGCTCCAGCACCTCAGCACAGTCTTTTCATGCCCCTCATTTAAAAGTAAATTTCATGACTTCTTTTATCATATTTGGATGTTATAAACAAATGAGAAGATGAACTGGACATAAATTTTATTGCTATCAAAGGAAGTGATTGGGTTTTTCAAGTCAATGGGGAAATTCAAGAAAGAGAACAACCTTAGGATTAAATGGACTGTTACAGAGTTAAAGATATCAATCAGTATAATTCTTGAAAGTCACTATAGAATTTTCCTAACCATCACCAAGTTAAAAAGAATTGCTGGTTCAATAGAATACCAATGAGAATCAAGAAATATGCAGGACCCAACTTCATTCCTTTTGCTCTTTAGACAACCTGGCCATGAATGAAAGGCCTCCATTTCTGTGTCAGAATCTTTGGATTTCCAAATATTTCCCTGACCCCTCAGCCCACTGGAAATCTCAAGCCCTGAATATATTCCACCAGAGGTACCAAGACACCCAACACTTACTTCTACTTCCTGGCAGAAGGTAGCATTGGGACCATATTGCAGTTGGCATTGGTGATGAACATCATAGATCACTCCAGGGGCAATGACTTTGGACTTCAAGCCTTTCTTTTGGGGAACATCATCAAGACAGAACCCCAAACCTCGGCTGAAAACAAATTAATAGAAGTGAGGGCAGTGGTTTAAGATTTCCTTCATCTTTAGTCTTTCATTGAACCAAAACTTTGAACCTTCTAGATAACTATTTATCCTCTTGACAACTTCATTTACAATAATGAGGGACCCCTCCGGACACAAGATAGGGACTATCTTAAAGTAAGTGCAAATCATAATTAGTTAAGTCGCTCTCTCGGAAACGCAAGCTGTTGCAACTTAAGAATAACATCATCTTAGCCTCAGTGAAGTTTCATCACCATTTGTGACTTGTTCTCGCCAGTGACATAATGAGATTTAAAAAAACTTCTTGAGATAGGAGCAAAAAGAGCTTATTTGGCTGTCACTGATAGGCAGAATTCACCTAAATTCTCGGTCAAGTAAAGTAAAAGTTAAGTAAAGGCCCTCCCGTCGATTTGCTCGAGCGGGCCCAGTAATGTCTCCATTGGAGACTTTGTTGTTACTGTGTCTGGCATATCGAATACGTCACGGGGAGCTTGCCAGGCTCTGCCGTGCGGGCGAGATACTCTCGGTAGCTTGCCGGGCTCTCCAAGAGGGGCGGAGGAATCGAACTCGGGTCGGCCACGTTGGCTGCGTGCAAGGCAAACGCCCTACTGCTGTGCTATCGGTCAAAGTAGAAATAAATCTAACTCTGTCTCAAGCTCCCCTGATCTGTGACCAATAGGAAGAACTGAGCCTTTTGATTATGGCTTGGGGAGAAGTCTAGGAGCTGGCACTTACTCCAGGAAGCGGGTAATGTAGTCCTTGCTGCACTTGGACCACGTCAGTGGGGCAGGATTGTATTGGAGCTGGCGGGACATGATGTATGGGTGCCTGCCCACTGGCTCACAGTCATTTTCTTTTCCATCATGCTGGATGCCAAAGCTGACAGGAGAGTACAAAGCACAAGAACATCAAGGAGGCAGGCATGAGGCTGAGAGAAAAGCTTCATTTCATCAAGAATAAGATAATCCCCAAAGTCACTTTGATACCCAAGGAATCACTTTAAAAGTGGGCATTTTGAAGTTGAAGAGTGAATTGACTTTTGTTATTGCTTTGCTCTTTCGGTCACACGTGGCTGTACTTGGGGTACACTCCTGATTCTGTGCTCAGTGACCACTCTTGATGGTCACTTTGTGCTCAGGGGACCTCATGGGGTGACAGGAATCAAACTCAGGTAAGCTGCATGTAATGAATCACTCTTGGCCCCCCACAGAGCTGATTTTGATATTTAAAAAAAGGGAATTTCGTGTTCAAATGTGCAGCTGTTAGAGCCATATGGATAATTCCCGAACCTCTGGTTACAGAGTATTATTGCTGTCGTTGTGACTTTCCAAGAGTCAAGGGACAAATTCTGCCCTGAAATCAACTTCTAACTTTTCCCATATGTACAATTGTTTTTAATGTCCTAATATTTATTCCCTGGTTCTCAAAAATCAAAAAAAAAAAAAAAAGAAAGAAAAATGGTGAGGGTTAAATACTGCTGGGATTTTAAATCTTCTAGAAGTCACTTTGCTGAAAGTGGAGACATTTGCAACAGTGTGGAGAGGTGCAACAACAATGATTATTCACCCCTTTGTCTGTATCTCTGCATCTGAAGCAGCCACCAGAAATCATCTGGAAGACAAATATCAAGAAGATTCAAGGTGTAGCCCAGTTCTAGTCTGTTCAATATTCTACCATTTTGAGAACCAGTAAATAACCACATTTCTTCGTTTTTAATTATTCAGGGAACTTGAGCTCAAGTAATTGTTATCAAGAAGTTCTCTCCTTTATTGGAGTATTTTCAAACTCTGAGCAGAATAACAGTTTTGCCCTGCATTTTATTTTCTTAAGTGATCTTCACAACATATCTTATATGCTTATGTCTAGATAATCATGTTAACGACTGTCCCCAAAATTGCTGTAACTATAATTTTGTAGGATCTGCTTAGATATTTCTGAGTCACTTTACAAGGTCAGATTGGTTGAGAAAAGTTACACTTTTGAACACAAGTGCTGAGCATCTAAGGATATCTTTCGTCAAGCCAAATCTTCTCAACTTTCCTTGAGCTTGGGCATAACCAGGGCTGGTAACTTTTTGTCTCTGAAATTTTGGCAATCAGGATACCAGATTATCTCCCACAGCTTTTAGGTAAGAACCAAAGAAATCACAGTATCCAAAGCATTTCTAGATTAACTTACTCTTAACATTAAGGAAACGGGTGCTGGGAAGGGGAAGGGAATGCCCTAAGTAAGACCCAAATATTGGTTTATGGAAAAGGCAGAATAGACACTTAACTCCTAAGTCTATATGATTTTACACCATAGGTAGCAGCATTTTGGTAAGTCCAACTCTTAGGTAAGAAAGATCACACCTGGAATAATTCAGTCTCTGGGATTGCTCCCAATACCTGCCCTTTCTGGCAGCACAGTCAAAGTATGCATTGTATGTGCTTCCTTATTAGAGGAAAGAGATTCAGTAGATTCAGTCTGGCAACAAGTAGAGTAAGTCTTCAGTTCCTCCGGTCTTTACCTGTGCCCCAGCTCATGTGCAATTGTGAAAGCCAGGGGGAGTCCAGAGTCTTCGTTGATGTTACAACTCCGGTGAGGCTGGCACATTCCCAACAGGTGTGACAGACCGAGGGTCTCACAAGGGCGATTGACACCAGCACAGATGTCTTTTCTGAAAGCAGAGAGCAGAGATGTACAGGTAAAGGCATCTGAGAAAACCCTGCTGGAAGAAACCTGGGGATCATTTCACACTCACAATGGTTGAGAAAGCATTTCTAATTATTAAAAATGTAAAGGTTCAGGGAATATTTGGAACACTTTTGAACTGATGGAGATTATTCTATTTTTGGTTTCATAGGGTTTTTTTTTTTAATTTATTATTGGGCCATGGTCTACAGTGCTCAAGACTGATTCCTGACTCTGCACTCAGAGATCATTCCTGGCAGGCTCAGGGAACTGTATATGGTACCAGGAACAGAACCTGAATCAGCCACATGCAAGGGAAGTGCCCTATCCACTGTACTACAGCTCTGGCTCCTACTCTGATTTTACCTAAAATTTCTAAAAGTGCAGTGGAAATCTGAAAAAGTGTGGAAAACACAAGTGCATTATTTTTGTAGCTTTTGTTCTTAATCTCAGGAGGCTCAACCATATTATTGGAAGCCAAAAATAAAAGGGTTTGGTTAAAAATGGATTTTACAATAAACTGATTTATTTTTAATTTTATTTGGAGGAAATTTTTGGGTAACAATGTGTGGACCAACCAACTGGGCTGGAATTTTCCAAACCTGAATTTCTTTTTGGTCTTTGTGAAGTCCATGCTTCAAACTATTCTGGGAATTGCTCCTCATTGGTGAAAAAAGGCAAGCATCTTATACCCACCCAGAGAAAACAAAAATAATTTCCTTATCACTGTTTCCTAACAGTATTACCTGTGAGAAGGGATGTTCAGTATGTGCACACATGCACAGCCACAGATACATGAGCATATACACATGCACACACACACACCACACACACACACACACACACACACATACAAACAGAAGAATGGAGGTTTTCTTCATTTTCTATCAGGCCTTCTAAGATCTCACCAAACAGTACTTACAACATTTAAATATTTTTAAAGTGTTGCGTTAGATCCCTTTCACATAGTTCACTCACTGACAAGAGCTGGAGGAGTTGAAAAAATCATTTGTTTTTCTTGAAGTTCAACAAGAGCTCTATGCCGAGAACCACCCGCGCAAATGCCAAAATATTCTGAACATTAGTGACAGGCATGCCTTTTTCTTGTTTTTGGGCCATACTCCGCAGTGTTCAGGGTTTACTCCTGGCTGTGTGCACAGGAATTATGCACAGTAGGGCTTGGGGGATCATCTGGAGTGCCAGGGACTGGACCCGAGTTGACCACATTCAAGGCAAGGTACAACCTACCTGCTGTATTATTACTCTGGCCTCTGGTACTTGTTTCACTCTTACAAAAATTTATTTATTGAATCACCGTGAGAACAGTTACAAAGCTTTTGTGTTTGAGCCTCGGTCATACAATGATCAAACACCCATCACCCATCCCTTCAAGAGTGCACATTTTCCACCACCAAAAAAACCCAGTATACCCCTCATCCCATCCCTACCCCTACCTGTGTGGCAGATAATTCCCACTTTACTCTCTCTCTACTTTGATTATATTCTATATTTCGACACCAGTCCCACCATTATTATTTAGAATTTTACCCCAACACTCATACCTGCCGAAAAGGCAACATTAAACACTTTGTTTTCTATGCTGGTTATGAATAGCATATGATGTAGTGCGGCCACACAATCTCAGAATTCTAAAATTTTAATAAATAAGTCTGGAGAGATTTATGCTAAGAGCCATTTGGTTCCGAGATTCGTTTGTGTGTCTCTGGGATCATGAATGTTATAGAGCTTAATAAGTAGCTGGGGGCAGGGAGAATTCATGGGCAGCATCTGAGGGTCCTATGGAGGCAGGGGAGGAGAAGGACATGTTTGACCTTTTGTAGGCAAGGTGATTAGGCTCCCTGAGGAGATTGTCTCTACCTCCCCCCATGTACTAGGGATATTCTAGTAGAAAAATGGGCTTTGGAATGCAAGGTATTAGCATCATTTTGGGGGTACATTCAAGACAAACCCGCTTTCTAGTGAATTCAACTCTAGAGAGAACTTTATTAACAGGGATTTTAACATAGCTCTCCTCAGGTAAGCACAGTAATAAACCCAGCCTTCCTGAAGCACCCTATTTCCTCAGACTAGATGTGATTAATAGGTGTAATTTGGTTCCCTAATCTCTCCTGCAGACATAGAATTGTCTTAGTTGACACAGGTTGGAAGAAGGTGTTCGAAGCATCTCATGGGCAAATGCTAAACATCCTAAGATGCAAAAGACATCCCTTTGCAACACAAAATTTTTCAGTCCCAAGTGAAAAGATTGAGAACTCCTAACCTAGAAATTGAAATACTTTCCACATCCTAGACATTGGTAAAATTTATTAAACCTTGAAATGAGATCTCTGTTCTAAGAAGGAAAAGTGATCATAATAAGGGATTAGGGAGCACTGATCTTTCCAAAGAAGTTATAGGGAAAAGTATAGATTTTGGCATCAAATTATACTGGATTTAAGCCTCTGTTATTAACAATGAGAGTTTGATAAGTGAACTTAACGAAATTTCAATTTTCCCATCTGTTAATTATAAGTGATTGATAGTAGCTAGCATGGCTGCTGTAGATGTGAAGAGATATAGCACAGTATGTGGCAAATCACCAAGGTACCACAATATCCAGCCACTAGTAACTCATTCATTGCCTCATGATGGAAAAGAGATGGAGCTATTTTTGCTGAAGTTAGCCCCAGAGTCTAGGGTTCTTCCCCATTAATAGTCCCTGCCTGGGCTTAAGTCTTCCTCTTGTCCTCAGTGTTCCTTGACTGCTTGTGGGGTGCCTAAACATCTTGTGCAATTCTTCATCCACACCAAACTATTCCCCAGGGGAGTCATTGATCAACCCAAAATGTAATAGGTCTTACCGAACGCAAAACTTTCATTTATTCAAAAGTTCATTTGTTCAGTTTTCACATGGATAATGCCAAAGACTTACTTCTTCAGGAATATGCTTGCATTTAACCAAAGATTTAATAATTCCACTAACAGTGATTTTGAAGACTGAAGCTTCAAATTAGAGTGATGTTGACATGTAAATAGAGCAGGAGCTGATTATCATTTCTTGTAGACATCTTATACAATGAAATGATAATATCAAAAAGGCAGTTGGCAGAACAAAATGTTTGGAGGTAAACAGATATTCCCTGGGTCCACACACACAAGACCATGCAGTGCAGAGGGTACTCTGTAGTTAAACAGCTAGGCCAAGCAGTCTCTCAGGTATAAGCATGTCTCCAAATCTACATATGGGGGCCCAAATTAATAATTACTCCCTCGCTGGAACTTCCCCACTAAGCAACCTCTCATTTGTGTACTTCAAAGAGAAAAGAACTGGTGATTGCAGGAGACATAGATGAACTCAACCTGGGTTTGATCTGTGGTACCATGTGGCCTCTGAACATAGTTCATGAAGCCCTGAAGACTCCTGAGAACTGCTGGGTTGGCCCTGTTAATTTTGAGCTCAAGGAATGCCAAACCGAACTGCTGTGTGAATTGACTTCGGATTTCAGGAGTGGTTCCACTCCTCTTAAGGACACATACTTACACACACACACACACACACACACACACACACACACACACACACACATATCCAATACAAATTAAAAACATGACTGCTATATAGTTGGTGCTCAATGAAGATTTACTGATTCAACAAGCTAATGCATCTCTCCCAAAATGTAGACTGTCATGGAAAATTCACTAGCTATTCACAGCTATGAGCACTGAAACTCTTGATTCTTACTAGCATTTTAGGAGTCTGCATGTGGAGGAGAACATAATAAAACTTTCATGAAGGTAAAGGGGGAAAGGCATAACCAAATAACTTGGTTAATTCAAGGGAGAACCTGCTCCTCATATTCCACCCCAACATCAATAAAGTGAGGTTAAAGAAGACTGATTTCTGTAGAGACCTTCGTGTTTTTCTACGTTAGAGAAGACTAGAATACATATGTGTCTGTATTCACATGCATTTGAAAATCTACTCAGTTTAAGGATCACAGGAATCTTCAGTGAGAATCTCTAAATCTATAGAATTGCAAAAGAAGCCAATTTAGGGAAAAAAAGTGCTTTGAATTTTGGGCCACACCTGGTTATGCTCCAGGCTTACTCCGGGTTCTGTTCTCAGGGTTCACTCCTGGCAGTGCTAAGGAGATGGTATCAGGTGCCTGGGAATGAACCCAGGTCCCTCACATACAAGGCAAGCTCTGTATACACTGTACCGTCTCTCTAGCCTCAAGAAGTCAATTTAAAGATAAATCACAGTGGTATAATAGGCCTGTATTTTGCCTGCAAGTGTATCTTAACCCAGAGAGTTCTGTGCCATTTGCAAGACTGATGACTGACCCCTCCACATCTTCGAAGGTATCTTCAAAAACAATCAAGAATGAGGGTCTCAGGGGTTGGAACACCTGGCAACCCTTACACTTCACGACCCCCCGCGTCCCCATCCCCTGCATTTCCACAGAGTCTCTGGGGTACCTGGTGAGAAGGACGGCCACATCATGATGGGCAGGGCTGAGGTCACTCTTGGGATTGATGCTCTTCTGCCACTTGCAGAAGCTGGACAGTGTCTTCTCAGCATGGTGCACTATTTTTAACCCTTGCTGGAGAAAGCAGAAGAGAGATTGGTATGTGTGAGCTCCCTGTGGTTAGGATCCCTGGCTTTACCACCCGCCCCCCCTCCCCCTCCCCCTATTATTGAGATGGCCTCAGGAGTGTGCCTCAGGCTCTGGCAGGAATTTGGCAGGGGCCAACTTCTTCTCTGCAGTAACTCCCTGCTTAAACACAGTCACTCTCACCACTTTCTCTGAAAGGGGAGGAATACAGGATAGATATTATCACTGGACAGCAGCCCTTCAAGAACCATTAAAAACACATTGACAGACCAACAGCCTTTTGAAATTTTATTTCTAGTAGCTCTCTGCTTCCAAAGTCAATACAATTCTAAAAAGATTCTAAAAAGGCTTTTATTTAATTTTTTTCCTTTTCCTCTGGAGCGGCATGCAAGGAGCCTGGGGGGCCCAGTTCAGGGGATTTTCCGCCATGAAGGCCTGGCAATTGAATGAGAAGGTCCAGGAGAGCCATCCTAGCAGCACTCAGGGACTTGCCCCCCGGAAGTGCTGGAGGCCTGGGAAGGGCATGGATGGTGACAGGGAGGATTCTGGGTCCTTGCACACTCACAGCACATGCCTTTGAGTCCTGAATTATATTTCCAGCTTCAGAAGTACTTTTATTTCTAGTGCAAACTAAACAGATTTCTAACAAAAAACAGCTTTTTCCTTTCTTGAAGTAGCCTGCAAAGCTGGGATTGCACTAGACATTTCCATCTTAGTTTGACATTTATAGGGAAAAGGCAAATACAATCTTTCCAGACTGCTGACCAGTTAGGATATGTGATCAGCTGGTAACAATTAGGCTGTTATAGTAGATACCCGCCCCTAGCAGGTTCAAGAGCTTCAGAGCCCCAAGGCGGTCCCTGTGTCATTTATCTGGCCCGGTTTCTAGTGGGGATGGAAGCAGAAGGCTTCTTCCAAATGAACCACATAAGCCCTTGCCAAGCAGGGGAGAAAGGAAAAGGAATGACTATCTCCAGAGGGACGCCAGCTTAATTTGAAGGAGAAATTCCTTTCCCTTGACCCACTTCTTTGGGTCTCCCTACAAAGTCATTTCTAGAACAGAGGGTGTTCTCCTGGCAGAATTATGACTAGCTCCTTTTCATCTGAGTCTTTTCCTTGAGGTTCAGTTAAAGAACTTCAGATCAGTTTCTGCATCGAACTATGGGCTCACTTCTCTCTACTGCTGTTTGCTTTACCCAAATCAAACAAGGGCTTCAGGTTGCCTATTAGACATATTCCCAGGTCGCCCCCACTTATACAGACCAGCCACTAAACACCATCTTCCTTTCATCAAAACAAAGAAAAATGGTTCACATGCTAAATTAAAGGCAAGACTTTTTTTTAATAATCCTAATTATTAAATCTCAGTAAAATGAGATATGGTGCAGGAAAAGTAGTTCTGGGCTCTAGCAAGATCTGAGGGACCAGTTGCAATTACTATGCAAGCCGTAATTGCAGTTCCACCCAATGGGAAAGATCCGCACCCCCATACAGAAGTAGTGAGCGATATGAAGAAGAAATGAAAGAGAAGAGAAAGGAAGGGAAGAAGTGAGAAAGCAAGAAAAGAGAAGGCGGGAGGGTTGTGAAAAAGAGCAAAGGAAGGAACTACTCAGCACGATGTCCCAGATGTTTCCATTTTTAATGCAATGGCATCTTCTTAGCATTATTCGTAGTTTAAAATCACTGTTATTTTCATTTTATAATAAGAAACAAATGAGCCTCAGAAGTGATAAAACTAGCTGAAGGTCATTCTGATCAAATTCTGAATCAGAGCATCAGGTTCCAGATTAAGGTGATTTTTACAAATGAGTGACTCGCCTCATTACAGACAGGAAGGCCGATAATTAGACAAAGCAATAATGATCTTTAGATTTCTCTGAGGTCTGATTTTGACCCTATATTCTCTTATTTGTTTGCTTGAAGGAGGTCTCTAAGAGAAATTTCATTAAGTAATAGTATCACTTAGAATTGTTCCAAAGAGAGTGAAAGGCTTAGGTATATCCAAAACTTAGATTTATAAAACTAACAAGCCAATTTGTTAGAACTTAATTATACAAAACAGAATCTGTTTTTCAGAAATTACAAAAGGTAAAGGTAAAGGTAAAGGCAAAGGCCCTCCCGTTGATCATCGATTTGCTCGAGCGGGCCCAGTAACGTCTCCATTGGAGACTTTGTTGTTACTGTGTCTGGCATATCGAATACGTCACGGGGAGCTTGCCAGGCTCTGCTGTATGGGCGAGATACTCTCGGTAGCTTGCCGGGCTCTCCGAGAGGGGTGGAGGAATCGAACTCGGGTCGGCCATGTTGGCTGCGTGCAAGGCAAACGCCCTACCCGCTGTGCTATCGCTCCAGCAGAAATTACAAAATGCTAGTAAAATAAGCCAAAAGCCCAAATAAGTAGGGTTTTTGGAGAGACACAGTTTGACTGTGTTCCACAGATTAGAATACTCTACACAATATATTTAAAGTATATATAGATATATGTGTAAACACACAAAAAAGGACAGACAAGGGGATGGCAGTGGCCTATTTCTCCTGCCACCCGCGTTCGGTAGTCTCAGGCCGTTTCCCCACTCCAGGGAGGTCGATGGCAATGGTCAGGTAAAGGAAGGAAACTGGGGCCAAGCTGGTTGGTCTTAGCAGCAGTTTATTACATGGAAGAAGTGTATGTCATAGAGGCCCCAGGATCTCTCAAGCACGTGCACCCTTGTTCTCTCAGCTTCTGTCCTCAACCCCATCTTCCCAGCTTCTCTGACGCACGTGTCCCCCCAGAGAGCCCTGAAATCTCCCTTATAGATATCATAGTATCTCTAAAGGGCGCAATATAGTGATGTCATCAAAAGGAGTTACAGAAAGAACATTAAACCTAAGCTCCGTGTACTCCAACAGATATATACATATGTATATATCTGTATATACTTTATCTCAAAACTTATTGATTATTCCGTGCAGTTTCTATCAAAATCTCAATGTCTTTTATGTTTTATGGGCCACACACAAAAGTGCTCAGAACTTACTCTTGGCTCTGGGTTCAGGGATCAGTCCTGGGTTGGGGGACCATAAGTAGTGCTGGGAATTGAGCCCAGGTCAGTGAAGTACAAGGCAAGTACCCTGATTGCTGTACTATTTCTCTAGCCCAAAATATTAAAGTTTTTTTCAGATATGTAAAAACTCATTCTAAAATCTGTAGCCAAGACTTAGGTTTAGATCAACTAAAATAATTTTGAAAAATTAAAATAAAGTGGGAAAACACCCTAATATTAGGACTTAATGCATAACTATAATAACCAAAGCTACACATGCTTACAAATACACACACATATCAACAATTTTTGTAAAACTGGTGAGACCTGAAAAAGGTAGGTGGTTTGTATGAACATTCATTTATTGGGTATATTATTGTACTAAAGTTATGTAAGATGTTATCATTGGGGGAAGTTGTACAAAGGGTATATGAGATTTTTCTGTGTCATTTCTTGCAACTGCATATAACACTACAAAGATCTCAGATTAAATTTTTAATCTGAAAATATACCTAATCAGAATCAAGGTGGGGAAGTTGCATTATATCTTATACATCACTTTTCAGTATGCTTTTTCATGGATTACTCACCAATTATAAGTGAGATCCCACAGTTTTTAATCAAAGATAACCTGAAATTTTTCAAAAGGGTTCCAGTGGTTAGAAAGAACTATTCCACTCACATAGTCACTTACTATATATGACTCAAACAATATCCCTGTTTTACTAGCCACAAGTGCCAATATTTATTAACACCCAGGGACCACTCAGGGAGAAGCAGGTGGCGCACATCTCAGAATGGTCTCTTTTGACTAAGAAAGTCCTTGGTAGGGCCACAAAGCCCAAGACGGAATTCTGTTAAGGTCAGGAAGGCTATTTTTTTTGCAATATTATCTTTTTTGTTTTGTTTTTATTTTTTTCTCCTTAAGTTTTTATATTCTTTTTTTTCCTGCAGTATTATCTTTTTATACGTTGGTTAAACCCGATATTTTGAAGAACTTATCAGTCCATGCACGTCTGTTTAAGGAAGAAAGATTGTTTATCCACATCTCCACTCCTCTCCTCATTTCGAGTCTGTGTCAGCAAGGACATGTCGTCCTCATGCTTAAGAAAGCAGAGTTGTTGTTCAGATGCAGCAGCATAAACTCTGCCTTCAATTTTCCAGTCATTAAAAAGATCCCATTTCCCTGAAGGACTTTCATAATCATAGATCCAATTCCCGTCCTGAAATGATGAAGAACTCAGGCCAGAGAGGGAAGTACTCAATTTTATAGACTCTGGTACAAAATTTGTGGTTTCAGGTTATTAGCAATTTCTCTAAATGTGTTGCTTTAAATAACTGGAAAGATTTAGCAATTCACCAATGGATCATAATCACCTATTTCTACACTGAGACCTCACACTTCCACCTTTGGTGAGGGAAAGAAAAAATAAAAGACCCTCTAATTTTGAATTCTGGTACCTATGAAAGGAACTGCTGGGGGATAATTCTATATTGCTCTCCTATTTCTCATGTTTTCTCGTACAATCTGAACAAAGGCACTCACAGCACCTGTGTCTTTGCAAGGATATTGTAACAGAAAAAAATATATTGTCTCCAGGAAAGAGGGGAAATTTATTTGCTGTCCAGAATAATCAAGATAATGGCTCCTACCTGGCTAAACACGGTGTGTTTACTTACATGCTCCATTCAAGGATGGAGTTAGCATCTCTTTTTTAATATTATTTTTTAATAATCTAAACTATATAGAAAAATTAAGAACTGTGATTTACAAAGTTATTGATAGTTGCATTTTAGGCATGTAACTTTTTTTTTTGTTTAGATGGAATTTATTTTTATCCCCATGGCATCTTATATTTAGTGAAAAAATATGGAAGACTTACTCTGTAATTCGAAGCTAGAAAACAATGCTTATATCATGAATTTTTATATCATACTGACATATAATATTTCAACATCAATCCC